GTGATGCATTGTATGTAATATGATATAAGGAAGTGATACATGGTATGTGAAATAAGGGGTAATGCATTGTATGTAATATCATATAAGGAGATGATACATGGTATGTGAAATAAGGGGTAATGCATTGTATGTAATATCATATAAGGAGGGGATACATGGTATGTGAAATAAGGGGTGATGCATTGTATGTAATATGATATAAGGAGATGATACATGGTATGTGAAATAAGGGGTAATGCATTGTATGTAATATGATATAAGGAGGGATACATGGTATGTGAAATAAGGGGTAATGCATTGTATGTAATATCATATAAGGAGGGGATACATGGTATGTGAAATAAGGGGTGATGCATTGTATGTAATATCATAAAAGGAGGGGATACATGGTATGTGAAATAAGGGGTGATGCATTGTATGTAATATGATATAAGGAGATGATACATGGTATGTGAAATAAGGGGTAATGCATTGTATGTAATATCATATAAGGTGGTGATACATGGTATGTCCAACGATATAAGGAGGTAAGGCATAGTATGTTAAGAGGTTATTACATCATGACAGTTTTCGGGCTGATATGACTAGCGAAAGGGAAACTGTCATATCAGAACCTTTATAATTATGTACCACATCAAGGGGCGTAACTATATAAAACTAGGCTCCGTCTATTAAAGTTTCGAATGTTTGCGTGTATTCATTCCGTACCAGTTTAGTAGCCGGGCCATACGGCTGATATGGATTTTCGGCCATAGGGCTGATATGGATGGTATGCATTTTCGACCCGGGTTTTCAATATGGATATATGCAGACAGACAGTATTGTATGTGCAAATTGGTCGATATTATTGATAGGTATAGGATAAAAGGAGGTAAGGCATGGCATGTCATATAACATCAGGAAGTGATAATGTGATATGATAGAATGGAGGTGATGCATAATATGTGATATGTGGAGGTGATGCATGGTATGTCATATTACATAAGAGGGTGATGCATGGTATGTCATATGATATAAGGAGATGATTCATGGTGTGTTATACAAGGTGATGATGCATGGTAATGATATATGATATGTGAAGTGAGTGAGTGAGTGAGTGAGTTTAGTTTTACGTCGCTTTAAGCAATATTCCAGCAATATCACGGCGGGGGGACGCCAGAAATGGGCTTCACACATTGTACCCATGTGGGGAATCGAACCCGTGTCTTCAGCGTGACGAGCGAACGCTTTATGAGATGTGGAAGTGTTGCATGATAGGTGATACGGTATACAGAGGTGATGCATGGTATGTGATATAAGGAGGTGATGCACTTATGTGATATGAGGACGTAATGCATGATATGTGATGTAAGGAAATGATGCATGGTATATGATATGATGTTTAAAGGTGATGCAAAGCATATGATATGGTATCAGGAGGTGATGCATGGTATATGATATGGTATCTGGAGGTGATGCATGGTATATGATATGATATCTGGAGGTGATGCATGGTATATAATATGATATCTGGAGGTGATGCATGGCATCTGATATCTGGAGGTGATGTATGGTATATGATATGATATCTGGAGGTGATGCATTGTATCTGATATGGTATCTGGAGGTGATGCATGGCATATGATATCTGGAGGTGATGTATGGTATATGATATGATATATGGAGGTGATGCATGGTATATGATATCTGGATGTGATGCATGGGATAAGATATGATATAAGGGGGTGATGCATGGTATATGATATCTGGAGGTGATGCATTGTATATGATATGATATCTGGAGGTGATGCAAAGTATATGATATGGTATCAGGAGGTAATGCATAGTATATATGGTATCAAGAGGTGATGCATGGTATATGATATGGTATCTGGAGGTGATGCAAAGTATATGATATGGTATCTGGAGGTGATGCATGGCATATGATATCTGGAGGTGATGCATGGTATATGATATGATATCTGGAGGTGATGTATGGTATATGATATGATATATGGAGGTGATGCATGGTATATGATATCTGGATGTGATGCAAGGTATATGATATGGTATCTGGAGGTGATGGATGGTATGTGATATCTGGAGGTGATGCATTGTATATGATATGGGATCTGGAGGTGATGCAAAGTATATGATATGGTATCAGGAGGTAATGCATAGTATATATGGTATCAAGAGGTGATGCATGGTATATATATGGTATCAAGAGGTGATGAATGATATATGATATGGTATCTAGAGGTGATGCATGGCATATGATATCTGGAGGTGATGCATAGTATATGATATCTAGAGGTGATGCATGAAATATGATATCTTGAGGTGATGCATGGTATATGATATCTGGAGGTGATGCATGGACTATGATATCTGGAGGTGATGCATGGTATATGATATGGTATCTGGAAGTGATGCATGGTATATGATATGATATCTGGAGGTGATGCATGGTATATAATATCTGGAGGTGATGAATGGTATATGATATGGTATCTGGAGGTGATGCATGGTATATGATATGGTATCTGGAAGTGATGCATGGTATATGATATCTGGAGGTGATACATTGTATATGGTATGGTGTCTGGAGGTGATGCATGGTATGTGATATGATATAAGGGGATGAGAGGTTAACTCAACTGGGTCAGAGTGATGGTTGTTCCATTTCTTCTCGGATGATTGTGGATTGAATAGAGACGGTTATAACGATCCCATAAACTCGATATGGTTCTCTGGCGCACATTGAATGAACATGCAACTCAAATAATAGCTCTTCCGCTTCAAAATGTTCTATGGCAATGTCGCATTCAGTCTCAGGCATTTTCCCACTTCCAATAAGTCGACAGTCGTAGAACAAAATGTTAACTGACGTTGAACGTTATATAGTCATTATCACTGCACGTAGATGTCACAACGTGCACGTTCATTTTGTGTATAATTTCTTTCCATGATATTTTCGTGGAGGCTTCTGAAACTTGATATCTGAAGTTACAAAAGTTTGCTCATATTTGTACACATATGACGAACATGTGAATAACATCGTTCCATATTTCTTTCAATTTGCTTTGAAGGTTTTATGAAAAAACAAAATCAAGATTCTCGTTGTGTCCAATGCATTTCAAAGAGTGCATATATACATCATTTTGATTTCTATTTGTTGCTTCATGCGACACTCACCAATTTTCAAGATATATGAACGGCGGTCTGTAAATAATCGAGTCTGGACCAGACAATTCAGTGATCATCAAGCTGCGAAAATGAGACACGATGACACGCATCGACAGAGTATCAATACTTATGGTTTAGTCGTCTTTATAATCAACTTATAAAAGTATTACTGCAGCTTGCAACCAGAAATACCAGGCAAATGCCCTTCCAGGTGTAAACATTAGTAACTGCTTGTTCACGTGTATGTACCAAGCCAACATTGGATATTTTACGTCTCTTTGATAAACAGTGCGTGGCGTTCACGTGTCTTCGACAATAACATTTGCTAGCAATTTGTGCTTCCGTCAATTTATTTAATTAATTTGCTTGATATTCAGATTTGTTTTTTTGGTTTTTTAACGCCGCACTCAACATTCCGAGTCTTTACGGGTGCCATTTTGAACATGCACATATGGTCATTGTATATGTTTTTCTTTGTAATTGTTTTAAGAGTGTACAATCCAACGTTTGATCCTGTAGCGTGACTGAAAATGGTCTGCGTACACGAGAACCATTTATATCTCGTTAATAGCATGTCCTTCCATCTGCTGTGCTCGTTCTCCATTGTTTGACACATTAAAGGTGTATTCTGTTATGCTGAGGAATAATTGCAATGTTCCCAATCACTTGCAAATGAAATCAAGATACATAAACAACAACAGGCACGACGAACTGATTCTCATGTAGTAGAAACATAAGGGAAACAGAAGAGACAAAACCGTTTCCACATCCATAAGAAATCTCTGATAAAAGCAGAGTCGATCGTACGATTGTGGCTATATCAATCGACTCTGGACCAGAAAATCCAGTGATTGTCACCATGCAACACTATCAAAATGTGATGATACCAGGTGTTCGCGAAAATGTGAGCGTATCCTGCCCCACCGGTGGCACCCGTCATAAACATATGCTAAGTCTAGTCAGCTGTTCACCTGAAATAATTCGAGAACGTATGGTATAAGTCAAAATAGGGAATTCCATCGGACATAATTTTTGTCACTGATGCATCAAATTTGGAACTTTTCTCCACATGTCTACCATAAAAGTTCTTGGAAGCTTTACTGGGGCCTTTAATTTTGTAACCCTGATCAAACAACTTCTGAGTAAGAGAGGTATGACGCTCTTTGAAATCTCAAATTATTATAAATTGAAAGAAACTTTAAGTCGTTGCTTTTCTTAAGAGATTCTCTGGAGTCCTTTCTATTTTCACTTATTAAAAGACAATTTCACAAAACTAAATATATTTTTTAGAGATCGTACTTATTACATAAAAGTTTGGAATCATTATACTTTTTTGGATATATGGTCAATTGTATTTATGAAACTGTTTGCTCTGTCGTCAGTATCCCCAAACATATTCAACATCTCTTAGGGGAGGTGAGGTAGCCCAGTGGTTAAAGCGTTCGCTCGTCATGCGGAAGACCCGGGTTCGATTCCCAACATGGGCACACTATAGTGATTCCGTATAAATTCATCATATGACATACGATAAAATCGATATGCAATCGATCAGCATATCATTAATCAATGTTACCACTATTTCAAATATATTTCAGCTTTTTCGCAAGTAACTCACTCCGATAGTGTTTCATACATGGAAAATGTCTACTGAATCATGTGGAATAAATTAATTTAATAGTCTGTACTTGTCACAGTGATACGTGACATACACGAGGCCTGTACGTGACACGTATAACTGCATCAAGGATGATTTTTGACGGGATAAGTTTCGAAAAGGCCAGCTTCATCCAGTGAAAGAACGAATATGGCACGGCTACTCAAACCGATGAAGCATGTCCAATCAAGATGCAGATTATGACTATCAGCTAAAGTCTATGGTAAGTTTGTAATGTTATACAATTTGATAGATCTGTTTTGGTTGATCTGCCTTGTGCCAAAGTTTTTGTATGTTTGCGTTAGTAGGATTGTTGCGGTATGGGGGCTGAAATGTGTCAGTTTAATGTGGAAAGCAGCAAAACTATTTCCATTCCCTGACAAATCTCTGTGTCAAATTAGATTTTATAAATCATCCAAAGTAACGATAGTACATGTTATCGATCAATTCAGGGTATCATGCTCCACTGGTGGCATTGGTCACAAACACATGCAAATGCATGTCAATTGTTCACCGGCAGGCCATGTCTGTGATCGTGGCAAACAATCCCGAAGAACGATTTTAAAAGTGTATGAATGTCATTACCTAAAATTATGAGCTTTACTGAAAAAGTAAATAATCCTTGATCGACCAGTACGACCGTTTTATACTCTGTGTTGACTACAAATGTCTTGTCAAGATATTTCAGGTCATCTTGATGCCCTGAGAATGCATATTGACATGTGTAGCGAATTCAATATTAACAGTACCTGGTAATTCAACGACAAAGGAGGTTTAAAAGTGATAATTTCAATCATTATTTGGTAATAAATAAATTGAAATGTCTGACGTATCGTTTACCTTTTAGTAGTCCTGCTAAACATCAGTAGCTATGACAACAGACCTACATGCCAAACGCGCTTTTCATTTGAATTCATATAGGCTGATCAGGTGTGTGTTTACATGTGATGAATATATGGGCCCCTAAATATTCATATATGCATATGCAATGTGATAATATGAACTTTTGTATTCTGTAGACAGAAACATGTCCAACTGAAATAGCAACTGAAGGTATGATAACTGGGCAATTGAATAGATTACATGCTAAAATATTCTCAGGTTATTATCAGTAAAATAGTCATTGAATAGACCTTACATATAGCAGACGTATCCTTTTTGCACTTCTAGAGGTGTCCTTTTTACATTTCAAAAGGTAAATAGTTTTTGCTTTCCTCAAGATGTGTCATTGTTTACATATCACAAGTTATATTTTGTACAAATCACAAGGTGTATCTAATAAACATATCACAACCATTTTATCATTTTTATAATTCTCAAAATGTAAATTGTTTTCATGACAAAGATGGGTGTTTTTTACTTATGCCACAGTGCATCTTTATATACTTCTATGACAAGAAATATCATTTTACTTACGACAAAATGTGTCTTCTTCTACGTATGATTTACATGTACCTTTACCATGCTTCACGGGATATGTATTTTTTATACATTTCAGAGCCAGAGATAACCTGACACGCAGCTGAGCATCAGTATCAAATTGCATATTTAAAAATAAATGCATTATGGCATGGCTGGTTTGAATTTAAAACGGGTAGCCAGACACTATCTAACACGACTTAAGACAAAGTGGCTTGTACTTCTACCGCTAGTGACAATGACATTGACCTTCCTTTGGTGGTCGTATCCAGGGAGTTCTTTCTTCGCGCATCAAAATAGCAAGATCAATCCATTACATTTTGAGTACGTTATTTCACCTGGACATGTCTGTTCCTACTCCAACAGCCCTTCAGTATTGGTCTTTGTGTTGACCACTGTAGAATCCTACGCCAAGAGGATGGCTATCCGCGAAACATGGGGCAGCGTTGCGAGGACGAGCAAATGGCCCTCAAGACATATTGGCACCTCCATCAAGTTTGTGTACCTCTTCGGCTATTCCGACAACGCCGATTTGAAGCAAAGGCTTAGAGCTGAAGCATCTGAGTTTGAAGATGTTCTTCAGATTGGAATAACGGAGAGATATGGCATCAATGTGACCAAGAAGATTCTGATGGGGTTCAAATGGGCGGAGGAGCACTGTCGGGGGACTGAACACGTGGTAAAGGTCGACGATGATGTGTTTGTAGACTTGCCCCAAATCCTTGACCATCTGCACCACCAAGAATTCAGTTCGTATATCAGTGGCCACATGGTCTGGTTTTCCTTTACCAAGCGCTCTGGCAAATACAAGTTAAGCTACAAGGAATATCCTTTCTACATGATTCCAGCTTACATTCTTGGGTATTTTTACGTGATGCCAATGGAGATTATGTCAAGGCTCTTGGAGGCTTCACAGTTCGTGCCTTATGTCAGAATGGAAGACGTGTATATCACAGCTATTCTACCCAGGACAATTGGTGTACAACCGAAAGCATTCAAGAGTTTTTGGTTTGACAGAAATTATGAAGTAGGCCTTTGTGATTTTGTGATGAAAAGGCGAGATGTAAGTGTTGATGTAAGTCCTGAAAATATGTACCATATATGGAAGACTTACCGTGATGAGAGGCTTTGCAAACGCGTGCTACGTTGATCATGCGTATTATGTTGTTTGAGATGTTGACAATTACTGCGTTTTTTTAAGTGATGAAATAAGATATTAAGATAAAATTTTATCTCGACAGTGAAATATAGTTCCTGTCGGAATTACTTTCCTTCTACCTCGGGGATATCCATCTACTTCGGGGATACTGTGTTGCAGACAAAGATCAGTAACATTTGGATTGGCTTGCCAATAACACAGCTGTCATCTCATTATTAACATTTTAATATCTGCGTCAACTTTGAAAGGTCAGTCAATGACATACAGAAAGACAAATGATCAACACCTATTTTCTGGTTTCAAAATCCAGTTGGATTGTGAATACAAACAGAATGGCTTCTTATTCTCGGAATCTATATTGGTCGTCCTCTTGCTCATTTGCCGCCCTTTGTCGACAGGTTTCATTGCAAAATATGTATTTTTATATATAACATGTTTTAGTCATGTTATGGTTGAAATACTGCCAATGAGATGAAATGTTAACTCATTCATTCATTCTTATTTACGGAAATGTTTGCATTCGTTGAAATAAAAATCAACGTTTGCATTCATTTAAATAAAAATCAACTTTGCGTTCATTCAAATAAAAATCAACTTTGCGTTCATTCAAATAAAATCGGTAAAACCCGAATGCACAATCATTGGGAATTCCTGCTGAAATGCAGACCTAAGTTTTCTTCACCATCTAGGCTGTAATACTATAAAGGTGGTGTAGGGCAGCAACATTCGTTACGGAGAACCCTGTCCTGTGTGTGTGGCACAACTCAATGATCAGGGGTCATGAATAGTGTTGTGAACCGTGAAGATCCTGGTTGGAATTGATCTTCAGTAACGCATGCTTGTCCTAAGGGGCGACACACGGGATCGGGAGGTCAGGCTCGCTGACTTGGTTGACACATGTTGTATCCCAGTTGTGTAGATCGATGCTCATGCTGTTGATCACTGGATTGTCTGGTCCAGACTGGATTATTTACAGACCGCCGCCATATAGCTGGAATATTGCTGAGTGCGGCGTTAACAACAAACCAAACCTGTTTACTTTTGTAGTTTTGTCAGCACCCCATATACCTCTTTCTAAGGATGTTGATCTGGTTGTATTCCTGTTAACAACACAATGTGAAGACATACATAACCGGTATAGACAGTATGTGGTTTAAGTGTCCGTTTGGATTGATACAGGTTTGTGTATTACGCCCGATTCGTGTTCTCCAGTGAAATACCATTCTCTTCCCACAGAGATCTCTTTGGGAAGAGAATGGTGAAATACATACAGTTAGATACAGTAGAACATGGATTTAGCGAACACGGATATAGCGTACAAACGGATATAGCGAATAAATTTAAAAGTCCCGTCAATAGTCCTTTATAATATCATTAAAATTATACGCGAATAACGAACTCGTGAGTAGCGAATTAACGGCTATAGCGAACTGATTTACTACCCCCAAGACCCAATTAACGATATATTAAATTCATTTGAAAGACAGACAACTCTATGCAGATATGCATGGGTTGTTGGTTACATTTTTTTTCTGTAGATGATGCTTCTCTTTGCTTCGGACAGAGAGAGATAGTTACTTTCAAAGACAATACAATATACTCTGATTTGTTTTAAATGGAACTGAAATTAATATATTTCACAGCACAAGACGTAATGAAAAGTGTTTTCTCTAAGTTTAATTATGTAGCCAATCTGTTAATGGTAAATCTATTTAATAAATTCATGTGAAAGTATATATTTAAAACCTATTTCACAACATTTGAAAAACAAATCACACGAACCGTGGAATTAATGGGCTCATTCAGTGTAAAACATAGGCCATTGAAATGGTCGACGATTCAGGTTATGAAGATTGCCTAGCTACAGGTGCCTGTGTACATGTTTGTGAAGGGCGTTACCTGTAGCGCATGCCATCTTACACGTTAGAGACCTCCTTATAACATCACATACATGTAGTCATTCCTATACATGCGGTTAGGCTATAGTCCTAATCTAAGTGTGGACTCGGATGACCCCATCGGATGAACTAGATGTTAATGAAGATAGGTTTCTTTTGACCTACTACGTTTCTGCAATCGACAATGGTTGTTTGGCGGTAACGTCATGATTATGTATTCACATGTGCTAATTAATCCCCTGCAGTCGTGAAGATCCAGGTAAGAATTGGTCTTCAGCAACCCATGCTTGTCGTCAGAGGCGACTAACGGGATCGGGTTTGTCAGGCTCGCTGACTTGATTGACACATGTCATCATATCCCAGTTGCGTAGATCAATGTTCTTAGTCACTGGATTGTCTGATCCAGACTCGATTATTTACAAGTCGCCGCGCCGTCAATCAGGTGGAATACTGTTGAGTGCGGCGTTAAAAAACAAATAAACAAACATGAATCAAGCATTAAATTTAAATAAAGTGACGGAAGCACCAATTGTTAGCAAATGTTATTGTCGAAGGCACGTTAACGACACGCACTGTTTATCAAAGAGGAGTAAAATATCCAATGTTGGCTTGCCACATACACGTGGACAAGCAGTTACTAATGTTTACACCTGGAAGGGCATTTGCCTGGAATATCTTGTTGCAAGCTGCAGTAATGCCTTTATAAGTTGATTATAGGACCGACTACACCATGAGTATTGATACTCTGTCAATCACCATTCTCTGTCTCTTCCCCCTCTCTCCTCCTCCACCTCTCTCTCTCTCCCTCTCTCTCTCTATGTGAGGGAGGGAGAGACACAGAGAGAGAGAGAAGGAGGCATAGAAGTCTCTCCTTTGAAGTCTCTCCACTATATTGGGGGAGAGGGGGCCGGGGATGTTGGTCGTGGTCGAGGGGAAGTACATCATCCTGCCTGACAGTGCATGCACTATATAGTATGTTATAAATGAACCGTTATTGTTTGAGAGCTCATTAACCTTGACCTCGCATAAAGTGAAACGTTAAACTGCACAGAGAGAGAGAGAGAGAGAGAGAGAGAGAGAGAGAGAGAGAGATTTGGTGACGTCATTTGCTTGTAACGGCATTATAACTGATGGTTTGATCACCATTAGGTGTATTTCCACTGAGGAGATATTCTAGGGTTTGATCTCAACTAAGTCTAGGATGATGTCTCTGTTGAATGATAAAACTATATCTCTTGAGGCAGTTCTATGGTTTGGTGGGAGAGGGGAGGAGGGGGATAATGCCCATTCAATTCATCAACGTCGTCCTTGATATTCATGGGTACGATCTGCTTCCGTGAAGACTGTTTCTGACAGAATATCTGGCATAGAAGGCATAGAATATGTTCAGTCGGGAAAAAAAATATTATTTTATCCTCTCCTTTTTTCCGATCTGGACATTTTGGATTGGCAAATGAATGTTATTGTAATTGATTTGCAAACAAAACTGTAATAATGCATTAGAGAATGGTTTTTGTTTTACGCCATAGCAATATTCCAACCATGTCACAGCGGGGGACCCCAGAAATGGGCTTCATACATTGTACCCATGTATTGAATCGAACACGATTCTTAGGCGTTACGACCGAGCGCCTTAACCACTAACTACTCCACCACCCTACACTGTTGTACTGTTTTATTAGCAATTTTCATTATTGTATGAATATGTATTTTGCAGTCCTGTAGCTCACATTATACTGCAATAAAATAATATTATTATATATAACATATTCCAGCTGCGTGGTTTGTCAACTACATGTTTTTGTGATGCATGCGGCAATGTAAACTTTTGTGATGCTTTTGTAGTTATTTTGCGATTTTATGCTCATGATAATTTACTTTAAACATTTCGGTATTCTGAGTACTGTCTTACATGAATTCAGTTTGACACAACTGCATATCCTTTATTCGCTGGGGACAGTGTCGAGATTGAAGGGAGGTAACTCTTTTAGTCGTTCTGACAAAGGGTTAAACAATGGTGGCTTTCATTGTTTTATTGAATACCTGTATGAACTTTCGATAGTCAAGCATGATGTCGCATCAGGTCGTTCGTCACCACTGCAGCATATATGTTATTTATATCTATGGCTAGTTTGTTAAAAAATGCTAACATCTGAAGGGATGGTGTAAACCCAGCTAGGGTCCATGCAGGAAGAAAATGTACTGTAAGTCCCCATGGCCCCTAAATTTAGTATGGTGATCTACCTCCAGTTGTTGACAATCTGTAGCCTGTTTTTATATTGTATTGTCATTTAAAGTTAAAATATTTTAGATTTAATTACTAGGTTTAAATTTTTAATGTCCTTCGTCAACAGGTTTTTAAAATTTACTTTCAATTACTATAAGTCTATAATTTGATTTAGTCGCGATATTGCTGAAAAATTGCCGATGTGACTTAAAATCTTAACTCACTCATTCACTCTGGGTACTTGTTCTGTGCGAAAACACGACAAACCAATCAGAACGCGCGTAATTATTGCAGTGCTTCGATGAAAATAATGAGTAAATAATTGATGAGTATGTACTTAAATGGTGTATGATATGTGTTTGCTTAAAAAATCACAAAAATATATATTGCACATATAGAACATATCTAACAGATTTGTGTTGCCTAATGTGAAGTTTTTAAAAAGGATAGATATCTTCCCATTATGACTACTCCCAATATGACTACTCCCATTTTGTCTACTCATTAACATAGACATAGAGAGAGATTCTTTATTTCCTCCAGAAGATCACCGAAAATCAAACATATTACAGTCGAACACCGTTGTGTCGAACTCTGATAACTCGATATCTCGGTTGTCTCGATATAATTTCTCGGTCCCGGCAAAATCCTTCATTATTTATCATTATTTGAACCCTTTTAATTCGATACGGATGTCTCGATATTTCGGATATCTCGATATGATTTCATGGTCTCGACAAGCAAAATTACCCTTTTAACTCGATATTTGCACGTAAAGTCGATATACACTTACCTTTCTCGGACAAGCATCCATCTGAACTGTGACTGTCTCCACGTGTTTACACACACGCTGCGGCATGAATCAAAGGTAGCGGTAGTGTAAGCTAATTAAGGCTAATTGAGTTGTAGGTGTAACTCGTTTGTTTATCTAACTAGGATGTACTCCCAATTTCAACTTAACACTCCTGGTAACGGATTATAGTATCGAATCAAACCATAGTGAGAATCTAATCAGGGACTTGTGTCATCACATGACAAGCAATTGATTGTTGAGTTGTTACTAAATTGCCGACTGAGAAATGCGGCTTAGGAGTCAATTGAAGGCTGTTGTGTTGTGGGGCTGTAAAATGTCATGGGATGCAGTAACACCAACAACAATCAGTAACTGCTTCCGAAGGGCCGGGTTCACAAGTACCAGTACCACTACCGCTACCGCTGCCGATGCTCCCGACGAGTCTGACGAGTCTGACGCCCTGGACGTCCTGACTCGATTTGTGGAATCGAGAGATGGAGGTCGAATGACACAAGGACTTATTATGTATCAAGAGTGGTTGACCAGTATTGCGTTCATGCCAGCACCAAATGCCCTTCAGTTAAAACTTTCTGATTTCTTCACTTCGTTTGTGGAGTAAATCCAACTTTTGTATATTTCAAAATGGACACTATGACGAGATTACCATGTGTATTTGCGATCTCTGTGAGGACAAATAAATAATAGACATGCAATGTACTGTTTTCTTTTGTTTTCTTTCATTTCTTTCATGTTGGTATGTGATATGCCCAACTCGGATGTGTCGATATTCGGATAAGTCGATATTTTTTCCTGGTCCCGTAAACATCGAGACAACTGTATATAAATATAGGAAAGGGGGCAAAGTTACAAAATTGATATAGATGTATATATAAATACTTTAATCAAGATGATTACCTAAAGCTATAATTGTCATAAGAACATACATGTACATGTATATGCAATTGATATTATACAAGAGACTTCCGAAGATGGACATACGTCATTACACACAAGTTAATACATCAGCAAAAATCAATCAGTGTAAAATTGTAGGAGGTCTTATTTGGCAAATGTATAAAGAAAATCGTACAATAATTGTTTCCCATGTCTCATGATCAACATTATCATTACAAGCAGTTTCACCTCCAAATAGAAAAGACAGCATATCGAGTTCATCCTGTAATTCAAAGGCAACATAGGTTTCCACATCAAGAATGTCAATCATAAACACACACAAAATTCGTTTCTCTCAATGTTAAGTTTTTCACAGTGTAGGAGTATATAAAAATCATAATCAGAAGTATATTTGTTACATAGGTTTCATTCTTAGATATTTTACCACGTGATGAGATTTTAATACATATTTGGAGAGCAGACTTATAATTAGGGAGTAAGTATGCCAATTGCCAGAGAATATGATAGTTTAACTTGCAATGAACCCGTGCAATAAGCGTCATGTTTGTATTAATTGAGGTTTGCATAACCCATCTGTGTTCTTCATAGCTATGTACAGATGTATTTTCAATTTTTCGCCATTCGTACTTTGGAGGGAATCCATCATCTTTAATATATTTTTCTATGTGTACATGTTTAATGGACAGGTTAATTTGGACAAAACAAAGATTATTGTGTTTCGAAACTCAGGATATTTAAGGCATTATGACAATTGGTTCTTCGAAGGTAAACAAATTGAGGTTGTGTCATTCTATAGGTATCTTGGCATAGTTTTTACTCCTAGGCTATCGTGGACTAAGTCTCACCATTGTCTGCTCTCTCAGGGTAATAAAGCACTTGTATCTGTCTATTCCTTTCAAAGAAATTTTGGTAATCTGTCAGCTCAGGATCTCTTTAAGTTGTTTGATTCTGACATTCTGCCTATTCTGTGTTATGGATCTGAGGTTTGGGGAACATCATATTGTAACATCATATTGTAAAAATATTGAAGGTCTTCAGATTAAGATTTGCAGACAATATCTTAGAGTTGGCAAGAATTTAAGTAGAAGTATGGTTCTAGGGGAATGTGGCATGATTCGGGTAGGACTACATGGGCTACAAACATAAAAAATATCTTATTTAAATTCGGTTTTGGGTTTGTATGGCTCTCACAGGATGTCAGTGATAGCAAGGCATTTATGCAGCAGTTTAAACTTCGGCTTTCGGATAATCTCAAACAATCATGGTCTGCCACTGTTCATAACCTTTCAGATTCATTTGCCTACAAACACTTTAAATCATTATTGCATATAGAAAGCTACCTATCATTATCTATCTCTCCCTATCTAAAATCTCTTCTGGCAAAGTTCAGGTGTAGCAATTTTGGGTTAGGTATAGAAGTAGGAAGATATAATGACATACCAATGGCTGACAGAGTCAGTTTTTACTGTAAATTAGATAATATGAACTGTATTGAAGATGAAACACGTCCTTTTTGTTAATTATATAATGATGCTAGAAACACGTTTATTACTCCAGTTTTGTATGATAATGTCAGCAAACATACCTTAATACACTTACTTAACAGTAAAGATAAAAATATTATCATAAATGTTTGTAAATGTTTGAAATGTATACATAAAACTAGAGCTGCAACTGTGAACATAAACCTGTCACTTTTATGTGCGCTTATTTCAACTAATGTATTTTGTATCATGGGCCTTTGGCCTTTATACTGAATAAAATATCTGTCTGTCTGTAAGTTATATTTATAGAGTACTGATAGTAGATCACCACAGATTGAAGGGGATTTTGTAGATGTGGTTATTGCTGCACAAAATATGTTTTTGGCAAAGTTATTACTGGAGATTTTGCATACACGTCCAAGAAAGATGAATTTACATTTGTCGATGTAACCAATTTTAAACTTTCTCAAGGCAACCACTTCTCTCAATTTTGAACAATGCCTAAATTTTCTGCATTAAAAATTATAGCTTTTTTAAGAAATGTAATTATAAATAGTTGCGACTTTCAAAACAATATATTAATATATAACTAAGTAACTTTAAGCCAAGGACAGGAAGGGGGACACAGCAAAAGCACAATTAGAGCTGGCAGAGGGCACTGCAAAAGTGGCATGCCCCTTTTACGAAGACTTCAAGGACCAGAGTAACAAGAAGGAGTGAGTGAGTGAGTTTAGTTTTATACTGCACTCAGCAATAGTCCAGCTATATGAAGGCAGTCAATTTTAACCGGGATCTTCACGGGTCAACAAGAAAGGAATGCTGTTGATACAATTCCCTATTTCTTCAAGCGTATTGTTGTGCAAAGTCACAAATGACTTGCCTTTTCATTAGTTTGTAATGTGTGCGACTTGAGGGGTTGGGGATCGTACGGAATCCGAAACGAATTTTGCTTTTACCAGCAATTATTAGCACAGGGGCTAAAAACTGCCATCAAGGTATGTACTGTCACTGAAAGGAAAGGGATGTAACGAGGTCAACACACCAAATTCGTTTCAAGGCGAATTCAACAATGCTTACTGTATTTATCCCATTTGAAGTATGTACACATTTCAAGCCAATAGATTTACCTACAAAATAAGACATACAGCTTAGAAATCGAAGCTAGGGTCTTCGGAAGCTTGAAAATCGTGATTTCTCGATTCCGAGCCAAAATCCCTGCTCAGAATTTGTAGCGGTAACACACCCATTTTCTGGTTTATTTCACAGTATACACAAATTTATATTCATACTTTTCTCGCCCCACATTGCAAAATAAAAACAACAGAAGTGTCACAAACATTTCCGGCTGCATTTTAGTTTGGACAGGAACGCTTAGTCACTTTCGAAAGTAGCACTTTGCCCTTGCCAATTATCCGCACAATGTCAAGAAGTGTACTAAGCAGCATGTTGTTCTCGGTGTTAGTGGTAGCCTTTCTACACTGTACCTTCGCAGGTGTGTATTCATTTTGAGAGATTTTGGTTTTGAACATTCTTTTTAACATATACTATAGCTTAAATGTGTCAGCTAAATATACGAAACTAGCTCACACATTTAAATAATTCAAGTACAATCCAAACATTTTCTTGCAGATCCTGAATTCAGAAGAATTGGAGGTGACCTTGACCTTGATATTCAGCTCCCTCCTTTTGAGTTCCTGTACGTGGTCAGCCCTCATCATACACCTTTATGTACAATAATCAAAGTTAACGACACGGTGAAAGTATATCCTGGTCACCAGAAGCTTCGATGCAGACATTCCACCGAGATGGGAAAAGTTGGGATGTCTTTGACCAACATAACCAGTGAGGATGCGGGGCCATATGATTGGTCCGTGGGCTCAATGCTGAATACCAGCGGCACGCTGCTGATGCTGTTTGTGACGGGTCAGTGTAGCAGATTTTCTTGAGTTTGGTAAGGCAGGACATGCTTAATCTTTTCGCAAACACCCGGTGTCATCACTAATCCATTCAACGATTGTCATTTGCAACTGGGTGGCATGTTTCAACAGACAAAATGGCTCATTATGCTCTTGTGGTGACGTTTAGTAATAGGAATTATGTTTGGAGATTTGATATTTTTCCAAACTATGTTTTTCTCTCGAATTAACTGGAAAAATGTATTCCATAAGACCACCCCACATATATTACTACCCCGATTGCGTAGATCGGTGCTCATGATGTTGATCACTGGCTCGCCTGGTCCAGATACGATTATTTACAGACTGCCGCCAATTAGCTTGAAAATTGCTGAGCGCGGCGTTAAACAACAAACCGTCCAACCATATCATCACTACCCTCCAATCCGAATGATTACAAATGATCTCTCACCAGGACTCTTTTACCCCACAGACACCCCAACTACCCCAACTATACGCCTTCCAAAACCCCCTGTTGTCGGTCAACAAGCCACTCTCATATGCAAGTCAAATTCAACAACCAGACCTGCGACCCATCCTTTGGTAATGAGATACCAGTGGCTTCAGGACAACCAGCCACTTAGTAACAACAGCATCGTCGGTATTGCTGGTGACTCCTTGATCATAAAACGTGTCAAGAACCGTCGACAACAGCAGTATCAATGCTTGGCAAAAGAAGCACAGTCTGAATCTATTCTGGCGACACTGAAGTTCAGTCCCGAATGTAAGTTCACTTTCTGTTGTTATATAACTGATTATCAAGTCTCCCAAATGAACAAATATATCATATAGTAATTTCACATATTCAAACCAGAATCAAAACCGGGTACAATGTGTGAAGCCCCCTTCTGGGGTTCCCCGCCATGATATTGCTGATTGCTGGAATGTTGCCAAAAGCGGCGTAAAACTATTTTCACTCATTCGGTCCAAAGAGTTGGTGCCAGCTAGGGTGTTCCTGTGAAACAGTTTCGTGATTTCAATATTTTTATGAACAGACCCTCCTCAGGAATCCTTAAATCACCAAGGCAAAGCTCTAGACCGTGGTTGAGTATCTGTTATTAGCTTTTGAAGTTTTACCGCAAAAGAGGGCAATGTTTATGGCTACCCATAAGATCCAGGTTAGAATTGGTCAATAACCCATGGTTGTCGTAAGAGGCGACTAACGGGATCGGATTGTCAGGTTCGTTGACTTGGTTGACACGTCATCAGTAATAATAAAAAATCTTTATTTGCACTGAGAAGGCCACAGGCCTATAGTACATAAAGTTATGTTACATTTGAGAGGAATTTAGATCGGGTAATCATAGCATAGTAAATGAACATTGAAATATTTTGTGGAGGAACCGGATTGTTACTACTTAACAGTGAGGAGAATTTTATCACATTTGGATGGACATAGTAATATCTTTTAATATATTTTGTTCGCAACCGGTCATAAAATGGATATATTAGGAGAAAATGTAATTCATCTTCTATTTCGTTAAAATTACAAAGTGTACATATTCTATTTTCTCTTTTTACATTCATATATCTGCCTCTTTCAATCAACAAATCATGAGAAGAGCATCTGAATCGTGCCAGTGCTATTCTAAGCTTTTTAACATTAATACAGCATAGATATGACTCAAGAACTATGGCATTTTAAAACAATGAATAATACATGCATATCCTTTCATACCGTGTTTGAATATATAAATCTTTTAGTCTTGTCGTTAAGGATTGTATGAATAACGTAGGTGATTCGACATATTGTGTATTCCATGTAATTCCAAAACCAATAGAATATACAAAGTTTTGTACATTGGTTGCCCAGTATTTTTGTCCACCTTTATCATATAACAACATCATATTATAACACTTCTTGGGTAAGCGATTTGAAGGCATAATCAACAGTTTTAGCCAGTACTTAATAACTTTAATGCTTGTAAGAATGTGCATTGGGTACCTACCGCATTCACCATAAATCACTGCGTTAATAGTGTTAATTGTAACTCCGAGGAACATTTTGCATGCGTATAAATGGATTGTTTCAATTTCGTCAAATTTTGTTATTCCCCAAATTTCGGCCCCATATGATAAAATTGGACTGACTTTGGCATCAAATAGCTTGAAGAATGAAGAGTAGTTAATATTACAAAGTACACTCAACTGTTTAATAATTCCAATTAATGCTTTTTGTCCCTGTAACGCTGCATATTTTACATGCCTCGTCCATGACAGGCCACTGGTGAAATATAGTCCCCAATATTTATAAAAGCCAATACACTCCAGCTGCATACCTTTATATAACCAGTTTTCCTTTTTTGACAATTTGCCTCAATTTGAATACAACAATTTTCGTTTTTTCTCTATTCACAGTTAATTTCCATTTATCGCAGTAACTTTCAAGTTCATTAATTTGATTCTGTAAGCCATTAATCCTGCTTGAGAACAAAACAATGTCATCTGCAAATAGCAATAGGGAAATATGAACTATATCAGGGTGGAGTTGAATTCCGTGTACACAATTAGTTTCGATTTGTCGTGCTAACTCATTTATAAAAAAGGAAAATAGAAATGGGCTTAGTATACAGCCATGTCTCACACCAAGTTGCAAGTCGAATGTTTCTGAATAATTATGATTACTTTTAATACAAGCCTTAACATTTTCATACATATTGCATAAAAGTTTACTCATTTTACCACTGAGACCGTGGGTATTAAATAGAAGTCAAAGTTTTTTTCGCTGTATTGAATCGAAAGCTTTTGAAAAATCTACAAAAAATGCGTAGAATTTTCCCCCTTTAGAGTTTAAATACCTTTGAATAATACTTTGCAGTATAAACATATTATCTACTGTCGTATATCCCTGTCTGAAGCCAGCTTGCGCTTCGCTGATCTTATCCATTGAGTCTCCCCAGTTTACAAGTCTTTTATTTATTACAGAGGTGAAAGTTTCACTAAATATGCTCAGTAGTGTTATGCCTCTGTAATTATTTAGATTATTTGTATTACCTTGTTTCTGGATAGGAACTATTATGCCATTTGCCCAACATCTGGGGAACGTACCAGTTTCTAATATCAAATTAAAGAGCAATTCTAAGTACGGGACGATAAGATCTGCTGAGTATTTAAAAAATTCAGATATTGTTTTATCAATTCCTGGTGATTTATTACATTTCAATTGGTTAATGCTATCTAAGATTTCATCTTTAGTAATTGGGGAATCAAGTATTACCTTGGTACGCTCTGAATTCGGATCTGATGGGTTTTCATTCTCGAAATTATCACATGTTACATCGTCATTTTCATTGTGTAAAGAGTTAAACAGTGTCCGAAAGTGTTCTAGCCAGTCCTTCATTTCGATGTTGTTTTGAGCTTCATGTCTAGTATTCAGGTGTTTGAGTTCATACCAACATTTTTTGTAATCAGATATACTGTTTTCTATTACTTTCTGCTTCTCTTTATAATAATTAAGGCGTTTTTCCTTACAAATTGAGTTATATTTATTTCTTTTAACGTCATCGTATCCCAGTTGCGTAAAACGATGCTCATGCTGTTGATCACTGGATTGTCTGGTCTAGACTCGATTATTTACAGACCGCCGCCATATAGCTGGAACATTGCTGAGTGCGGCGTTAAACAACATACCTACCAACGAAAATCATGTTTATGTCCAATGTCCAATGCTGCGACTGATATCTCACACAAAACCCAACTTGTACAACGCCCCATGATTATAACTATCATCACTGCAGCAAGTGCATGTGCTGTGCATGTTTTCATCACAAATAACGTTTGAAAAATATGCATATACTCTTGTTGTGAATATTGCGATCCAATTGTCCTTTTTGAAGATTGCCATCATCTATGCCATGCATGTAGCTGTTGGTTTTGCGTATTTTCTTCAAGTTGTACCAAGTTTTGAATAGATTATAACGTATCTCCTAGAACAGGACATCACAAGTACAACCAGCGTGAGGAAACTTAATGAGCAATTGTTTCAGTTTCTACTTAACTGCTTTCCGTTTGAAATATATACTCTCCCAAAAAAGAAACGCATATAGGAATTTCCACTGTATTTTAATGTTTACTTGAAAACATGAAACATCTTGTAGGCTTTATGAGTCAATGAAATATAGTGAAATTACACACTGGGAATGCAGACTTATCCGTCTTCTGCACCAACTCGAGGAAAGTCAGTTTGAGTGTCACATGGAGACGTGTGGTGACGCTGAAGTCAATACCTCGTGTGACCACCGTGGGCATCCAGAACTGCACGGCATCGCCTCGGCATCGAACGAATAAGTCTCAGAATCTCGTGTTGCCCAATCGCAGCCCACTCTGCCCGTAGTGCTTGTGCGAGTTGCTGAGGTGTCTGGGGCTGAGGGTTAGGGCGTCGCACCCGTCTGTCCAGGGCATCCCACAGATGTTCGATCGGGTTCATGTCCGGTGATCTTGAGGGCCAGGGGAGCACATTGATGTTGTGGTTCTGGGGGAAGTCTGTAGTGTGACGTGCTGTGTGGGGCCTGGCATTGTCCTGTTGAAACAACTCACTCTGGTGATCAATGGTTGGAAGGAGGTGTGGGCGTAGGATTTCGTCACAGTACCGTTGAGCTGTCAGGTTGCCCTGGATCATCACCAAATCACTTCTCCTACGGCAGGTGATCGCTCCCCACATCATAACACTGCCCCGGCCGAATCTGTCCACCTGGGGAACGCAAGCGTCGGCGAAACGTTCACGTCGCATTCTTCCATTGCGTCGTTCCAATAGAAATCGTGATTCATGACTGAACCAGATTCTACGCCAATTCGGTAGGTTCCAGGCCTGAACATTGGTGCACCACTGAACTCGATGTCGACGATGTTGTTGTCGAAGCACAGGGCCAAAATAAGGTCTTCTGGCACGTAAACCAGCCTCTCTCAACCTGTTCCTGACGGTCTGTGCAGAAAGCCTCCTCAATCCCGGTATTTGTCAAGCGGTACTGGTCGCCGTAGCTGTTCGATGACGCAGGTGAAGTACCCGGATGTAGCGATCCTGCGCCGCACTGGTCGCTCGAGGTCGCCCACTATCTGCTACCGCATTCTGCCGGCGATATCTCTCCCAGAGCCGTGAAATGGTGCTTTGGTGAACATTCATGCGTCGGGCAACTGCCCTTGAGACTGGCCAGCTTCAACCAAACCAATGGCGATACATATATATGACGGTTGGCTTCACTTAGACGTGGCATTTTGCGTTCGTCAACAATATTCCAAATACAGTGAATAATGAACGGTCAGCGATCAACCTTTTATACCCATCATTGAGACTATCTGATCCCCAACTTTCACGTGCATTGCATGTGAATTGTGTATTCTGTGACACTACACGCCGAAATTGAAAATCATGCTGTTAAATACGGGTATTTTACGGATGGTGCGTTTTGTTGTGATGTTTCAAAACACCATAGGACTCATAAACAGAGCAAAACCTTTTTTAAAACGAATCACGTTTTAATTCATAGCGACATGAAATTGCTATTTTCATGATGCGTTTCTTTTTGGGAGAGTATACTAGTTTAGTTGTCATCTCTTTATCATAATTTGCATTTTTTTATCTGAAAACCTGAACACCTGGTGTCATCAGTTATTTTCAATTACATACACGTAACAGTTATCGTAATGATCTGTTTCGATAGGTAATCGAACCTTACTATTCCACGGCATTGACGATATGTATTTTTTTAGAATTGAAACTAAACTGGTGTTCGTTCAGTTTTAATTTCTATGATACTGGACATTCTAAAGGATTATATCGATTAATGATTAGATAGTGACAGTGTATATATACGAGCGTGTATGAGTATGCATGTATGTATGTATGTATGTATGTATGTATGTATGTATGTATGTATGTATGTATGTATGTATGTATGTATGTATGTATGTATGTATGTATGTATGTATGTATGTATGTATGTATGTATGTGTGTGTGTGTGTGTGTGTGTGTGTGTATGTATGTATGTATGTATGATGTGTGTGTGTGTGTGTGTGTGTGTGTGTGTGTGTGTGTGTGTGTGTGTGTGTGTGTGTGTGTGTGTGTAATTCTATTTCCTCATATGAATAATAATGGCAATGTGCCTGGTTACATGCACTGCTCTTGAGGAGTAAAGAATGTTAAAACTTTGCACTTTGCTGTCATTTTCTCTTTATCCCCAATGCAGATTGCCACAAACAAACTAACGACTTAACGTAATGTTGGCATTGTGTTACCAACTGCATATTGTATAACATCAATTAATAGCAATGGTGCATTGAAATCTGCTCTCTGCAGATGGACCATACCACCTTGATGTCAATGTTTCTGGGAAAGCGAGACCTGTGGAGGGTTCCAGCCTGTGTGTGTCGTGTGTTGCTGACTGCAAACCAAGTTGCCAATATATGTGGCTGCGGAAGGACAACGAACTGCATGGCACAGACTCAGGGGTGATGGTACTGACACCGGTTAGAAGGAGCCAGAGTGGGTACTATAGTTGCAAAGCTTCCAATCGCCATGGCGAGCTGGAAAAACAAGTCCAGGTGGATGTTCAGTGTGAGTCGAAGGCTTGCTAAAGTGCCACCCGTTTTGGGAGTCGGGGTAGAAGCCCGGGGATTATAGAAATAAGAATATATGTTTCCGAAATGATAGAAAAATAATTTGTCCTTTGGTTTTAGATGCAAACTTTTTTTGAAAAATTATAATGTTGTTCAGTGGACATATTAGATAACGTGTCCCATAAGACTTGTGTACTCCAATGTTTAATTATTTGTCTATCCCTTACTGTACTCAGATTGGCGATTAGTGATGATATAGTATTGGTTTTAGATCAACCAAATATTATGAAAGGAACAACCTTTACTCGGACACAAACAATCAACGAGGGTCAACAGGTTGACATTAGATGTGATGTGGACAGCAACCCAGCGCCAACCATCACATGGCTGAAAGATGATATCGTAGTGAAGCGGAACGTCCTCGACGGTGATGTACCAAGCATTAATGGAGTCAAGAACATCTTCAGAAACATCTTCACAAAGGAGAGAGCAGTGTGTGACGATGGCGGTCTGTACAGATGTCACGCCAAGAATGGTGTTGGAAATGAAACGGAAGAAACTGTTACTCTGTGTGTGAAATGTAAGCTGTTTAATAATATGTTTAAGATGTAGTTTAATATTTGCAACTTGTGACACTCCTTTCACCGGATCTGGAACATCATTGCAATATGTGCTCACCTTGGTTACAGCATCAAGACATACAAGATCTGGTTTTAAATTGAGTCGCAGAACAATTATTTACTCTTTTCATTTTTAGGATGTGTTGTGCATCTGTATCAATGTTTCTTTTGTGATACAATATTATTTATTCCAATAATTGTGGAATATCTTTGTTTAAATTACTGTTTTAAGGTATACTGGGTTTGCTTGCAGGTTCTGTGCGCACGGACGGTGACCATGATCGATCATTCATTACTCCGACAGGAACAAGTCTGAATGTCACTCTACATGTCATCGCTTATCCAAAGCCGAAACTTATTGGGTGGGAGCATATTGTGGGTGACAATGCGGTCGAGGTCAACTCACATGGGTACATCATGACGTATGTTGCCAAGCCAAAGAAATTTGAACACAGTTTGATTTTAACACATATTGACATGACGGACAATAACCAAGGGGAATACAGGACAGAAATAACCAATCGTGTTGGGAGTAGCCTTGAGTACAGATACAATATTACTATTCAAGGTATGTGGTATATTATTATATAAGCCTTACCATGGCAACCGTGTGTTATGTTATCATACATGTTCAGGTAGTCAGTTTAATATACGTCGCCTTTTAACAGTATTACGACTGCATCACGTTTTGTCAGCATGTTGTTGGAGGAGATGCCACAACCATGCATACCTTAGACATTTATATCTTTGATTAAACCGACCCTTCAAGATCCAGGTTAGAATTGATCTTCAGTAACCCATGCTTGTCAGAAGAGGCGACTAACGTGTCTGGGTGGTCAGGCTCGCTGACTTGGTTGATATGTGTCATCTGTTCCCATCGGCGTAGATCGATGCTCATGCTGTTGATTCACACTGGATTGTCTGGTTCGGACTCGATTATTTTCAGACTGCGGCCATATAGCTGGAATATTGCTGAATGCGACGTGAAACTGAACTCATAACGGTTAAAGAAACAGAAACATTATAAAGGCGAAAGAAAATACCTTTCTGTCACCAATAAGGGATCAGCTCTGCACAGCTTAATGAAGACTACTGGGGATTAGGAGGAGGAGGTTGAGGAGGAGCAGCAGAAGCAGGTGCCCCTATAGCAGTTGTTCGGCTGGTTAATATCAGTACATAAAGCATGGCTATCCAATAGGCTGTGACTTTGTCAGATGCAGATGCATTTTCAGTTGCAGCTTCATTTCTTCGGGAGCCGAACTGTTCTGAAATACTTGCCAACCGCAATTCCTCAGACAAATTGTCTGATGTGTATTATACACTTGCTTCCACAGTTCCTCCCAAGGTGCCCAAGGAATTGACAGTCACCATGGTGGGAGGGACCTATGTTGGTATCTTGTGGAAGGCAGGATTTAATGGCCATGCCATACAACACTTTGAAATTTCATTCAAATATGCACGAGCACCTGAGGAGCAACCCTGGACAGTAGACCCGACCATCATCAGCGAAGACACCACTCACGTAAACCTCAGTGGTCTAGACGAAGGTACTACGTACCGGATCCGCATACGTGCTCGGAACAACATTGGAACAAGCGGTTACGCCAACATTCTGAATTTTAAGACACTGGGAGGAGGTACGTTACTTGTATTTTTCTTGTTGTATGTATATATAGCGTGACACCAGTATGGACAACGGGCAGATTGAAACGTGGTATTATATGCTGGTGCCAACGTTATCAAATATTCAAGTCAAAGGCAAAACGTAAATCTGCAGGAAAAGATTCCATTTGGCATACAAATAATGGCAATCACCTAACGAAGGATACAAAATGAGTGAAAGCAAAACAGTGGCACAAACCATGTGAATTATCATACTGAAAACTTGGGCTGATACCTGGTGTTCGCAAAAAGGTAAGGGTTTCCTGTTCTACTGATGGCACACGCCCCTGGGATAATATATGTGAAAGAGTGTTTCCTAGCACCACACAACAGTACTCGTGGCACAAGACTATGACTTGTAAACAATCTAGTCTTCACCAGACAATTCGGTGGTAGGGCTGTTAGAACGCTGACTTTGTGAGCAGGCGATTAGGTGACTGAGTTTGAGATGTGGGTTTGAATCCCGGTATGACAAATTGTCTGATGTGCAATGGAGTCCATTTTCGGCAAAGGAGCGACAATTTACACTTGTCAGAGGAATACACAAATTACTTGATCAAGACTTCCAGTTGTCAAGATGCCATTTTGTGGAAGCCACAGTGGCTGAGTGGGTTAGATGGCCGACCTTGTGAGCTGGCGATTAAATGACTGTGGGTTCGAATCACGGTATGACAAATTGTCTGATGTGTATATTTTAAGCTTTTTTCCACCGTTTCCCCAAAGGCACCTAGCAAACCCTTCGGTGGGGCGATTAGGTGATTGACTCCGAGATGCGGGTTCGAATCCCGGTATGACTCAGTCCCCAATGTACTAGAATCTGCAGTTTACAGAGAAAATATAATCCTAAATATATGATATTTTAAATACATAAGCCCGATTTTATTGAAACTTTATTGTAGCGATGTGCTAATTTTGAAGTGGTCCGCGGGATGTACGGCGATTCTACATAAGAAAAGACGACAGACAGCACAGAGAAAGAATTGTGTTACAGTTTAAAAATAACATGTTCATATGAACGAAACCGAACACATCAAACAGGGTCAGTGTCACTGTGACCTCATGTGATAGTTTCATGAATGAGTGAGTGAGTAGGGTTTAGTGTGAGGTGTGTCATCATGGAGGAAAGCCTCTTGTAATGCAATGCCAGTCATTTACCTTTGTGACCCGTGAAGATCCGTGTTAGAATTGATCTTCAGCAACCCATGCTTGTCGTAAGAGGCGACTAACGGGATCGGGTAGTCAGGCTTGCTGACTTGATTGACACATGTCATTGTATCCCAATTCCTAGATGGATGTTCATGCTGTTGATCACTGGATTGTCTGGTCCAGACTCGATTGTTTACAGACCGCCGCCATATAGCTGGAATATTGCTGAGTGCGGCGTTAAACAACCAACCTAGCAGTTACCTTAGTGGTAACACGGTGATGGTCCTAACAAACCTTAAAACAAAATCAGGTTTAAGTGGGATTCGAATCAACGTTAATAGATTTCTTGCAAGCATGAATGACGAAACTCCGTGCAACGAACTGCGGCACCTCTGCTAATTCATTGAATGAGTAGTATAGGGAATGATGGTACAAAAATAATGATAAAATAAGAAGGAAAAGACCAAAAGGTGCACCTCCACTCAACATTTGAGTATATAGGGACACTTTTTGTTGTCATTGTTTTTTTAGGTGCACTCGAATTAGAGATACACTAGGTACATAGGTATAGAACACAACAAAATGCCCGAAACCAAGCTATCGCGCAAAGCCTACGTCAAGATCCGATCGGGTCGTTTGTCCCTTCGGGAAGCAAAGAGGAAGTGCCACATATCGCAAGCCCGATACACGCGAATCCGTGGCAGCTCCGAGAGAACTCCCGACATGGCCGAAGTCTTCGAGAGCCTGCTGGAGAAGTGTCCCCACGTATTGCTTTCGGACCGAGAGAAACAAATCCTGAAGAAATCTGGACACACCTTCTACGAGCGCTACCAGATACCTCGCCAGTTTCTGGAACTGTATTTGCTGTACTTTAACCAATTCATCGAAGACGGCAAAATAGTGGATTTCATCTACCTCTACCCACCCAACCAATTTCGCCCGGCATCGGGCAAACTCCGCATCATTCTCGCGGACGACTACTGCCGCCCAGCAGAACCCAAGGACAGAAGACACCACTGATGCACCGACTGCCTGGCCGCCATATCGGAACTTCCCACTCTCTTCGAGCAAGACAACTCTACGTGCAAGTGTGGTGCCATCAACCACTGCGTCGACAGCAAGAAATGCGTTCTGTGGAAAAACAAAGCGATAGAAGACTACATACCACCTCAGGAAGATCGACTTCCACTCGAGGTTCCAGAAGAAATCCCAATCCCCTGCTGTATCTCGAACGTAGAGAACCTGTGCGATGACGACTGCCTCTTCTGGTGCCTGGGCTACCAACGCCTCGTCGACGAGTTGTCGGCCTATTGTCCATGCAGCGAGAAAGAGTCTTGTATCTTCCGGCAGCTATTGGGACAAGCAGATCCGCCACGGGGATGGGGACGGCATACCACCCCTTTGCCCAACTACGGCCGACCCAAGGAAATGGAAGTGGCAGCCCCTCCATGCAGCGAACACCGAAAAGCCACAGACATTCTGGTAGGAATCTACACGTGCCAAAAGTTCGCCGTATTGAAATACTAAGGCAAGAACCTACTGTTGCTGCTACTGGATTCGCCATCGACTGGAGAAAAAACAATTCCGGTGTATGGCTACAGGCTACGAGAAAAGGTTCGAGATGCAGGTGGAATCGAATGCCTACGGTTGGTGGGTGGACCGTTTCGGTGCAGGCTCGTCAAAATCTGCCACTCGCCCATATCGAAGAGGAAAGACGATCGAGAAGTCGAGTTGCTGCTACCAGAGCGGGAATAGCGTTTTCTATCGAGAATAGATATTATTTTGCTCCCTACTGCATGTGGAAGGGGTGCACGAAGGAGTGGACCGTGGAAACTGGTTTGGGCATCTTCTTCTCTTTGTGGACCGGTGTGCTGTGCTTCCAGGTCCTGTGGACGACCTTCCAGAGAAAAACGGCAACTAGCGAATGTAGACCCATCTTTGGGTCGATTCCACCATCTGCCCCACCTTCTGGATATCGAAAATGGTCTCTTCTTCTTGTTCCTCCTCCATTTCCTCGTGGAGGAGTTTGGAATCGTCCTCGTCGTAGTCCAGCCTAGACAAAACGTTGACCAACATATTTGGGGTTTGCCTCGCACGAGTCTCGATCTTCCCCAGGCGGTTGTAGAAGTCCTGGATGGTTGGCTATATATTACCGGGTATTGCTACTTTTGATCTATCTCGAGTCACCTTTTGTGGCAATGGTTCGACGACCGGGAATGATACTTCTGGTGGTGGTGGTGGTACTTCTTCTTCGACTGGCTGAAGTGGTTGTGGTTGTGGTTTCCTCGATCGGATCTCGCCATATGTCGTAGAGTCTTTTCGATCCAATACCGAAACGCTTTTTAATCTCGGCTGCCGACAGCACACCTTGAAGTGCACGTATTTCTTGGACTAGGTCTTGCGACAGTTCTTTTTTCGGAGGCATGTTGAAATTTTTCAATTTGTAACAGCAAATCGTAGCAAATCTAGCAAAAACAAGCAAATTCCAGGGATTGTGTGGTAATTGTTTTCCCCACTAGATTTCCTGGGTTTGCAGTGGGATGGAGGAAAAACTGGCCTTCCCAGGAACAAATGGGAGAGGATTGGGATAGGATTGGGATTTCCATATAGACATATTGGAAGTATGAAAAACATAGTGGGGAGTTCCCATATGGCGGCCAGGCAGTCGGTGCATCTGTGGTGTCTTCTGTCCTTGGGTTCTGCTGGGCGGCAGTAGTCGTCCGCCAGAATGATGCGGAGTTTGCCCGATGCCGGGCGAAATTGGTTGGGCGGGTAGAGGTAGATGAAATCCACTATTTTGCCGTCTTCGATGAATTGGCGAGAGTACAGCAAATACAGTTCCAGAAACTGGCGAGGTATCTGGTAGCGCTCGTAGAAGGTGTGTCCAGATTTCTTCAGGATTTGTTTCTCTCGGTCCGAAAGCAATACGTGGGGACACTTCTCCAGCAGGCTCTCGAAGACTTCGGCCATGTCGAGAGTTCTCTCGGAGCTGCCACGGATTCGCGTGTATCGGGCTTGCGATATGTGGTACTTCCTCTTCACTTCCCAAAGGGACAAACGACCCGATCGGATCTCGACGTAGGCTTTGCGCGATAGCTTGGTTTCAGGCATTTTGTTGTGTTCTATACCAATGTACCTAGTGTATCTCTAATTCGAGTGCACCTAAAAAAACAATGACAACAAAAAGTGTCCCTATATACTCAAATGTTGAGTGGAGGTGCACCTTTTGGTCTTTTCCTTCTTATTTTATCATTATGTTTTCTTTGCGGTCCTGTACCATCATTCCCTATACTACTGAATGAATTGTTTCGAATTTAATCTTATTATTTCCTGCTATATTTCTGTTGTTTTCCTGTTATATTCCTACTGTTTTCTGTTATATTCCTACTGTTTTTCTGCTATATTCCTACTGTTTTCCTGTAATGTTTCTACTGTTTTCTGTTATATTCCTGCTATTTTCCTATTATATTCCTACTGTTTTTCTGTTATATTCCTGCTTTTTGTCTGCAATATTCCTGCTGTTTTCCTGTTTTATTCCTGCTGTTTTCCTGTTATATTCCTGCTGTTTTCCTGTTATATTCCTGCTATTTTCCTGTTATATTCCTACTGTTTTTCTGTTATATTCCTGCTTTTTGTCTGCTATATTCCTGCTGTTTTCCTGTTTTATTCCTGCTGTTTTCCTGTTATATTCCTGCTGTTTTCCTGTTATATTCCTGCTATTTTCCTGTTATATTCCTACTGTTTTTCTGTTATATTCCTTTTCCTGTTTTTTTGCTATATTCCTGTTGTTTTTCCTGTTTTCCTTTATTCCTACTGTTTTTCCTGTTATATTCCTGCTGTTTTCCTGTTATATTCCTACTGTTTTTCTGTTATATTCCTGCTTTTTGTCTGCTATATTCCTGCTGTTTTCCTGTTTTATTCCTGCTGTTTTCCTGTTATATTCCTACTGTTTTCCTGTTATATTCCTACTGTTTTTCTGTTATATTCCTACTGTTTTTCTGCTATATTCCTACTGTTTTACTGTTATGTTTCTACTGTTTTTCTGTTATATTCCTGCTTTTCCCTGCTATATTCCTGCTGTTTTCCTGTTATATTCCTGCTTTTTGTCTGCTTTATTCCTGCTGTTTTCCTGTTTCATTCCTGCTGTTTTCCTGTTATATTCCTGCTGTTTTCCTGTTATATTCCTGCTGTTTTTCTGTTATATTCCTACTGTTTTTCTGTTATATTCCTGCTGTTTTCCTGTTATATTCCTACTGTTTTTCTGCTATATTCCTACTGTTTTTCTGCTATATTCCTACTGTTTTTCTGTTATATTCCTGCTGTTTTCCTGTTATATTCCTACTGTTTTTCTGCTATATTCCTACTGTTTTTCTGCTATATTCCTACTGTTTTTCTGTTATATTCCTACTGTTTTTCTGTTTTATTCCTGCTGTTTTCCTGTTATGTTTCTACTGTTTTCCGCTATATTCCTGCTATTCCCTGTTATATTCCTGCTGTTTTCCTGTTTCATTCCTGCTGTTTTCCTGTTTTATTCCTACTGTTTTTCTGTTATATTCCTGCTTTTTGTTTGCTATATTCCTGCTGTTTTCCTGTTTTATTCCTACTGTTTTTCTGCTATATTCCTGCTATTTTCCTGTTATATTCCTACTGTTTTTCTGTTACATTCCTGCTTTTTGTTTGCTATATTCCTGCTGTTTTCCTGTTTTATTCCTACTGTTTTACTGTTATGTTTCTACTGTTTTCTGTTATATTTCTGCTTTTTGTTTGCTATATTCCTGCTGTTTTCCTGTTTTATTCCTACTGTTTTACTGTTATGTTTCTACTGTTTTTCTGTTATATTCCTGCTTTTTATTTGCTATATTCCTGCTGTTTTCCTGTTTTATTCCTACTGTTTTACTGTTATGTTTCTACTGTTTTCTGTTATATTCCTGCTATTTCCTGTTATATTCCTACTGTTTTTCTGTTATATTCCTGCTTTTTGTCACGCTTTATTCCTGCAGGTCCTGTTTCATTCGACATCCCACTGGGTTACAATGTGAAGCTGTTTTTCTGGTGTCCCTGCCGTGATGTTGCTGGAATATTGCTACTGTTTTCTGCTATATTCAAACTCAGTCAGTCAGTCAGTCCTACTGTTTTCCTGTTATATTCCTACTGTTTTTCTGTTATATTCCTACTCTTTTCCTGTTATATTCCTGCTGTTTTTCTGCTATATTTTTAATGTTTTGCTGCTATATTCCTGCTGTTTTCCTGTTTTATTCCTGCTGTTTTTCTGCTATATTCCTGCTGTTATTCTGCTATATTCCTGCTGTTTTACTGTTATATTCCTGCTATATTTCTGATGTTTTATGTTCCTGCTAAAACACCTCTCCATTTAAGCTTTCGGGTTTCAGGACAAACAACAGGACGAGCACTGTCGGATCTCACATCTGATGAAAATACTAGTAAGGGTATACTCCCCTGTTCCTTTTCTCTGGAAGAGGGCAGTCGTAATTAATTATATTAATTGATACATTTTAGAATTATTATCTCGTGAATACACCTTTCGAGACACAGTGCATGTAGATTATACCAGTTGCCATTGAAATTAATTAATAAATGATAATTATGTGTCCACACCAGGTACGCTCATAGCGCTAACAATCAAAGCACAGAATATTATTAACCTGGGAAATCCAATCTGCCTGTTAGGCGCCAGGAGGTTGTAGTCACATGACTTATCCCACCAGGTACCCATTTTCTGCTGAGTGAACAGAGGCAATTTTGAACAAACTCACCTGCCTAAGGTGAGACTACATGTATCACACGTGCTTCGTTGTGGGGCAGGACTGAAGTCCTATAAAATCTCAGAAGTCAAGCTACTTAACATGGTCACCCATCCAATTATAATCAGGGGTATATCTGTTTCAACATTTGCAGTAATGAAAGACAATGAGACATCATTCCCTGGGTTCCATCCTGAATCACATGGTATGTATGTAACTGAGTTCAGAATAAGATATTCATGCAAACATGTGATGGTTAAAGAGACACAATCAAATTTAACAGTACTGTCAATTTTCAATTACGTTAAAAAAACCTTGGTATATTTTTATGTAGCCCACCCCTGAAGTGTATAACATACTAATGAGTTGCTTTTTTTAAGGTTCTCGTATCACTGGCATCGTGTTCGCTCTCATAGGAACATCTACGGTGTTCCTAATGGTTTGGTTTTTCTTATTTAAAGGTAAGACCTTGAAGAAAGAGTTAGTTTATATAATTTCATATAACTTTAAGATTTCAAACTGTCCACGCATAAGCTATATCTCTAAGTATCCTGTGAGTGAGTAAGTAAGTGAGTATTGTTTTACACCGCTTTTAGTAATATTCCAGCAATATGACGATGGGGGACGCGAGAAATTGGCCAGAAATTGACACAATCCATCCACGTAGGGAATCGAACCCGGGTCTTCGGAATGACGAGCAAACGCTTTTATCACTAGGCTACCCCAATACAGCATATATATCCTGTATACATTGTATTCAATTCAGCTACTCATGAGTTAGTTGGAGACTCATGATTATGAACTACTCTCGGTTCGTTACTAATTGACTTGGTTTTGTGTATAACCCTGCGAAAGTATCCTACCGGTATTGTCTTTTTATGATCAGGGCCGTTAAAGCGTATGCTGATGCGCCTCGGTGGTACCATGGACCAGCACACACGGATGAGTGTAGAGGAAAACACGTATGAGTTGCGGACACCACGCGAATGTGGCTCTCATGGAGGGGATGGTAAAACACCTGTTGCCGTCATTCAGATAAATTGCAATTTTGTAAATTTAAATACCTGGGTCCCGTCCCTAAAACCGATCGTAGCCTTACGACTGTCGTAAGTCTATATTATAGCAAAGGAGTTGCGATCACCTTAGCGCTACGATCGCTTTGTGAAACGGGGCCCAGGTTCGGTTGGTAGAGATATGCTTCTAGAACTATCATTCTTGCAACTTATTGTACAATGTCTATAACTATTCTTCCTACATCCTCTGGTGTTGAGGTCTGTAGCTATCCTTCCTACATCCTCTGGTGTCAAGGTCTGTAACTATCCTTCCTACATCCTCTGGTGTTGAGGTCTGTAACTATCCTTCCTACATCCTCTGGTGTTGGGGTCTGTAACTATTCTTCCTACATCCTCTGGTGTTGAGTTCTGTAACTATCCTTCCTACATCCTCTGGTGTCAAGGTCTGTAACTATCCTTCCTACATCTTCTGGTGTTGAGTTCTGTAACTATCCTTCCTACATCCTCTGTTGTTGAGATCTGTAACTATTCTTCCTACATCCTCTGGTGTCAAGGTCTGTAACTATCCTTCCTACATGCTCTGGTGTTGAGGTCTGTAACTATCCTTCCTACATCCTCTGGTGTTGAGATCTGTAACTTCCTACATCCTCTGTTGTTGAGGTCTGTAACTATCTTTCCTACATCCTCTGGTGTTGAGATCTGTAACTATCCTTCCTACATCATCTGGTGTTGAGGTCTGTAACCATTTTTCCTATACCATCTGGTGTTGAGGTATGTAACTATTCTTCCTACATCCTCTGGTGTTGAGATCTGTAACTTCCTACATCCTCTGGTGTTGAGGTCTGTAACCATTATTTCTACATGATCTGGTGTTGAGGTCTGTATCTATCCTTCCTACATCATATTGTGTTGAGGTCTGTAACTATTCTCCCTACATCCTCTGGTGTTGAGGTCTGTAACTATCCTTCCTACATCCTCTGGTGTTGAGGTCTGTAACCATTCTTCCTACATCCTCTGGTGTTGAGGTATGTAACTACCCTTCCTACATCCTCTGGTGTTGAGATCTGTAACTATTCTTCCTACATCATCTGGTGTTGAGGCCTGTAACCATTTTTCCTATACCATCTGGGGTTGAGGTATGTAACTATTCTTCCTACATCCTCTGGTGTCGAGGTCTGTAAACATTCTTCCTACATCATATTGCGTTAAGGTATGTAACGATTCTTCCTACATTCTTTGGTGTGAAGGTATGTTACTTTCTAGCCTACATCCTCTAGTGTTGAGATCTGTAACTATCCTTCCTACATCATCTGGTGTTGAGGTCTGTAAACATTCTTCCTACATCATCTGGTGTTGAGGTCTGTAAACATTCTTCCTACATCATATTGCGTTAAGGTATGTAACTATTCTTCCTACATGCTTTGGTGTAAATATCTGTAACTATCCTTCCTACATTCTTTGGTGTGAAGGTATGTTACTTTCTAGCCTACATCCTCTAGTGTTGAGATCTGTACCTTTCTAGCCTACATCCTCTAGTGTTGAGATCTGTAACTTTCTAGCCTACATCCTCTAGTGTTGAGATCTGTTACTTTCTAGCCTACATCCTCTAGTGTTGAGATCTGTAACTATCCTTCCTACATCATCTGGTGTTGAGGTCTGTAAACATTCTTCCTACATCATCTGGTGTTGAGGTCTGTAAACATTCTTCCTACATCATATTGCGTTAAGGTATGTAACTATTCTTCCTACATGCTTTGGTGTAAATGTCTGTAACTATCCTTCCTACATTCTTTGGTGTGAAGGTATGTTACTTTCTAGCCTACATCCTCTAGTGTTGAGATCTGTAACTTTCTAGCCTACATCCTCTAGTGTTGAGATCTGTAACTTTCTAGCCTACATCCTCTAGTGTTGAGATCTGTAACTTTCTAGCCTACATCCTCTAGTGTTGAGATCTGTAACTTTCTAGCCTACATCCTCTAGTGTTGAGATCTGTAACTTTCTAGCCTACATCCTCTAGTGTTGAGATCTGTAACTTTCTAGCCTACATCCTCTAGTGTTGAGATCTGTAACTTTCTAGCCTACATCCTCTAGTGTTGAGATCTGTAACTTTCTAGCCTACATCCTCTAGTGTTGAGATCTGTAACTTTCTAGCCTACATCCTCTAGTGTTGAGATCTGTTACTTTCTAGCCTACATCCTCTAGTGTTGAGATCTGTTACTTTCTAGCCTACATCCTCTAGTGTTGAGATCTGTTACTTTCTAGCCTACATCCTCTAGTGTTGAGATCTGTAACTTTCTAGCCTACATCCTCTAGTGTTGAGATCTGTAACTTTCTAGCCTACATCCTCTAGTGTTGAGATCTGTAACTTTCTAGCCTACATCCTCTAGTGCTAGCCTACATCCTCTAGTGTTGAGATCTGTAACTTTCTAGCCTACATCCTCTAGTGTTGAGATCTGTGACTTTCTAGCCTACATCCTCTGAAGGTGTTGAGATCTGTGACTTTCTAGCCTACATCCTCAGTGTTGAGATCTGTGACTTTCTAGCCTACATCCCTCTAGTGTTGAGATCTGTGACTTTCTAGCCTACATCCTCTAGTGTTGAGATCTGTAACTTTCTAGCCTACATCCTCTAGTGTTGAGATCTGTAACTTTCTAGCCTACAGCTCTAGTGTTGAGATCTGTAACTAGCCTTCTAGTGTTGAGCCTGTAACATTCACAGGCCTCTAGTGTTGAGATCTGTAACTTTCTAGCCTACATCCTCTAGTGCTGAGATCTGTAACTTTCTAGCCTACAGCTCCTCTAGTGTTGAGATCTGTAACTTCTAGCCTACATCCTCTAGTGTTGAGATCTGTAACTTTCTAGCCTACATCCTCTAGTGTTGAGATCTGTAACTTTCTAGCCTACATCCCTCTAGTGCTGAGATCTGTAACTTTCTAGCCTACATCCTCTAGTGTTGAGATCTGTAACTTTCTAGCCTACATCCTCTAGTGCTGAGATCTGTTACTTTCTAGCCTACATCCCTAGTCTGAGATCTGTAACTTTCTAGCCCACAAATCTAGTGTTGAGATCTGTAACTTTCTAGCCTAGCATCCTCTAGCAGAGACCTGCGACTTTCTAGCCCCATCCTCTAGTGTTGAGAGAGATCTGTGACTTCTGCCTACATCCCAGTGCTGAGATATGTGACTCTCTAGCCTACATCCCTCTAAAGTGCTGAGATCTGTAACTCTCTAGCCCTACATCCTCTCCAGTGTTGAGATCTGTAACTTTCTAGCCTACATCCTCAGTGCGTGTTGAGATCTGTAACTTTCTAGCTACATCCTCTAGTGTTGAGATCTGTAACTTTCTCTACATCCCTCTAGTGTTGGGATCTGTGTAACTATCCTAGCCTACATCCTCTAGAAGGCAAGTGTTGAGGATCTGTGACTTTCCTAGCCTACATCCTCTAGTGTTGAGATCTGTGGACTTTCTAGCCTACATCCTCTAGTGTTGAGATCTGTAACCATTCTTCCTACATCCTCTAGTGTTGAGGATCTGTAACTTTCTAGCCTACATCCTCTAGTGGTGTTGAGGATCTGTAACTTTCTAGCCTACATCCTCTGGTGTTGAGATCTGTAACTTTCTAGCCTACATCCTCTAGTGTTGAGATCTGTAACTTTCTAGCCTACATCCTCTAGTGTTGAGATCTGTAACTTTCTAGCCTACATCCTCTAGTGTTGAGATCTGTTGCTTTCTAGCCTACATCCTCTAGTGTTGAGATCTGTAACTATCCTTCCTACATCATCTGGTGTTGAGGTCTGTAAACATTCTTCCTACATCATCTGGTGTTGAGGTCTGTAAACATTCTTCCTACATCATATTGCGTTAAGGTATGTAACTATTCTTCCTACATGCTTTGGTGTAAATGTCTGTAACTATCCTTCCTACATTCTTTGGTGTTTGTATGTTGCTTTAGCCTACATCCTCTAGTGTTGAGATCTGTAACTTTCTAGCCTACATCCTCTAGTGTTGAGATCTGTAACTTTCTAGCCTACATCCTCTAGTGTTGAGATCTGTAACTTTCTAGCCTACATCCTCTAGTGTTGAGATCTGTAACTTTCTAGCCTACATCCTCTAGTGTTGAGATCTGTAACTTTCTAGCCTACATCCTCTAGTGTTGAGATCTGTAACTTTCTAGCCTACATCCTCTAGTGTTGAGATCTGTAACTTTCTAGCCTACATCCTCTAGTGTTGAGATCTGTAACTTTCTAGCCTACATCCTCTAGTGTTGAGATCTGTAACTTTCAGCCTACATCCTGCCTACATCCTCTAGTGTTGAGATCTGTAACTTTCTAGCCTACATCCTCTAGTGTGAGTTGAGATCTAGTGTTGTGTAACTTTCTAGCCTACACATCTGTAACTTTCTAGCCTACATCCTCTAGTGTGATCTGAGCCTACATCCTCTAGTGTTGAGATCTGACTTTCTAGCCCTACATCCTCTAGTGTTGAGATCTGTGACTTTCTAGCCTACATCCTCTAGTGTTGAGGAGCCTACATCCTCTAGTGTTGAGATCTGTAACTTTCTAGCCTACATCCTCTAGTGTTGAGATCTGTAACTTTCTAGCCTACATCCTCTAGTGTTGAGATCTGTGACTTTCTAGCCTACATCCTCTAGTGTTGAGATCTGTAACTTTCTAGCCTACATCCTCTAGTGTTGAGATCTGTAACTTTCTAGCCTACATCCTCTAGTGTTGAGATCTGTGACTTTCTAGCCTACATCCTCTAGTGTTGAGATCTGTGACTTTCTAGCCTACATCCTCTAGTGTTGAGATCTGTGACTTTCTAGCCTACATCCTCTAGTGTTGAGATCTGTGACTTTCTAGCCTACATCCTCTAGTGTTGAGATCTGTAACTTTCTAGCCTACATCCTCTAGTGTTGAGATCTGTAACTTTCTAGCCTACAGCTCTAGTGTTGAGATCTGTAACTTTCTAGCCTACAAATCTAGTGTTGACTACTGTAACTATTGATCGCATGCCCTCTGGTGTTGTCAGTAACTATCCATTCGTGCCATGGTTTCTAGAACTATCCATCCCACAACCAGTGTACCTGTTTACCATATCACGCCTCCATGTCAGAAACTATCCCTCATATCAACTCACGAGTCACCCATAACTTTTCATAATATACTCTCCCAAAAAGGAAACGCATCATGAAAATAGCAATTTCATGTAGCAATGAATTAAAACGTGATTCATTTTACAAAAGGTTTTGCTCTGTTTATGAGTCCTATGGTGTTTATGTTTTGAAACATCACAACAAAACGCACCGTCCGTAAAATACCCGTATTTAACAGCATGATTTTCAATTTCGGCGTGTAGTGTCACAGAATACACAATTCACATGCAATGCATGTGAAAGTTGGGGATCAGATAGTCTCAATGGTGGGCATAAAAGTGTAATCGCTGTCTGTCGATTATTCACTGTATTTGGAATATTGTTGACAAACGCAAAATGCCACGTCTAAGTGAAGCCAACCGTCATGTCGCCATTGGTTTGCTTGAAGCTGGCCAGTTTCAACGTGCAGTTGCCCGACGCATGAATGTTCACCAAAGCACCATTTCACGGCTCTGGGAGAGATATCGCCGGCAGAATTCGGTAGCAGATGCCCCTCGTAGTGGGCGACCTCGAGCGACCACTGCGGCGCAGGATCGCTACATCCGGGTACATCACCTGCGTCTACAAACAGCTACGGCGACCAGTACCGCTCGACAAATACCCGGATTAAGGAGGCTTTCTGCACAGACCGTCAGGAACAGGTTGAAAGAGGCTGGTTTACGTGCCAGAAGACCTTTTTTTGGCCCTGTGCTTCGACAACAACATCGTCGACATCGAGTTCAATGGTGCACCAACGTTCAGGCCTGGAACCTACCGAATTGGCGTAGAATCTATCTGGTTCAGTGATGAATCACGATTTCTATTGGAACGACGATGGAAGAATGCGGGTGTACAGATGTCGACGTGAACGTTACGCCGACGCTTGAGTTCCCCAGGTGGACAGATTCGGCCGGGACAGTGTTATGATGTGGGGGGAGATCACCTGTCGTAGGAGAAGTCATTCGGTGATGATCCAGGGCAACCTGACAGCTCAACGGTACTGTGACGAAACCCGACGCCCACACCTCATTCCAATCATTGATCGCCAGAGGGAGTTGTTTCAACAGGACAATGCCAGGCCCCACACAGCACGTCACACTAGAGACTTCCTCCAGAACCGCAACATCAATGTGCTCCCCTGGCCCTCAAGATCACCGGAATTAAACCCGATCAACCATTTGTGGGATGCCCTGGACAGACGGGTGCGACGCCCTAACCCTCAGCCCCAGGCACTTCAGCAACTCGCACAGGCACTACAGGCAGAGTGAGTTGCGATTGGGCAACACGAGATTCTGAGACTTATTCGTTCGATGCCGAGGCGATGCCGTGCAGTTCTGGATGCCCACGGTGGTCACACGAGGTATTGACTTCAGCGCCACCACACGTCTCCATGTGACACTCAAGCTGACTTTCCTCGAGTTGGTGCCAAAGACGGATAAGTCTGCAGTCCCAGTGTGCAATTTCGCTATATTTCATTGACTCATAAAGCCTACAAGATGTTTCAAAGTAAACATAAAAATACAGTTGAAATTCCACTATGCGTTTCTTTTTTGGGAGAGTATATCTGATCTAGTCCTGATGTCCATTTCTATCCATCATATCAGCCCGTGTTGAGGTAAAAACTACCCACTTTATCATCTGCCATATTAATGTCTATACATACATGTACCGCATTTGTGCTGAGCTAGATAAAACCCACAATATGACCTCTCGTTTCGAGGTCTAATATCGCCTCCATCTGGTGCTGATGTTTAAAACTGTTCAATGATTAAGTATGCCTGACTTGCAGATGATGGCGAAATCGCTGGATGCTCTTCACGGCAGAGTGAACACATCTATGATGTACCTGGCGTGATGGAGGGGGCAGACCATGCCGTGCCTCCTGTGTACTTGACGACAACATCAGGAAGATGCAGTAAACTGGAACAGCCCCGTCAGAGGACGACTTGTGAATTTTAGTTTTAACGTCCCGTAATTTGAGACATTCCTAGTTTAAGCCACATTGACTGGCCGTGGTATTACTGAAGCACTGTAGAATCAGTTCAAACTGTCGTTAAACCACACTCATGTATATAATTTCACTTACCACTTAATACAGTAATAATTACTCTGTATATTAATTTTTTTATTGCTTCCCCGATATTGGCAAAACCGTCGGGTCCATATCTGACAGGATCAGTCAGATAAGGGCGTATCGGGATGGTACGGGACAAGATATGTAAAGGAGAGGGTGATAATCTCTACATATTACACATACTGGTTAAAGCGTTCGAATATCACGTCGATGACCCGGTTCGATTCCCCACATGGCTACGATGTGTGAAGCCAATCTCTGGTGTCCAACGCCGTGATATTGTTGGAATATTCCTAAAAGTGTCGTAAAACAAACTCACTCACTCACTCACTTCATCCCACGTTGTACTGAAAGTGTAAAGTATTACTCATTTCAAAGTATTATATACATTTGATAACAATATCATCATTTCAAATTGAGTTTCGAATACATGTATGTCTACTGACCTCATCCACGAAATGTTTCCGTGTACATAAAGGTTCGAAATAAAATGTGCTAATAACAGAAACTGATAGCTTCCTGTAAGATTTGCTATCATTTACTTAGACTCATGTTTACTTAAACGATATTTATGTCTAATAATAATAATTAAAATATTTGGTTTTCTAAAATTGTCATGTTATTTTCTTGGAAAATAGAAAATTGTGACCATAGGTAGTCGAGCGTTTGAGTATCACTCGATGACTGCCCTTAAAGTGTTACTGAGAGCGGTAGGATAGCTTAGTGGTGAAAGCGTTCGCTCGTAACGTCGAAGACCCGGGTTTGATTTAATCACGTGGCTACAACGAGTGAAGCCCATTTTGGGTGTTCTCCGCCGTGGTTTTGCTGGAATATTGCAAAAGCGGCGTAAAACTAAACTCGCTCACTCACTCACTCACTACTTACTCAGTGCTGCCAACATCTTCTCTCCAGTATTACACTCCATTACAACACTTTGACTAAAATAGTTCATGACTAATCTTAGAGTAAAATATATACAAAGAACTTAGTTAAGCACCCCTGACATTTTTCACGATTGAATGAGCCCTGGTTCAACCCTTTGGAGCATATCTGTGACATGACTGGTCTTCATGTGCAGCAAAGGGATCATCCTGTACAGAACCTGGCCCAATTGGAAGCTGCTTTACACGAGGAAATGGCTTAGACTGGCCCTTCATAGGATCAGGAGGGTGACAGTTGGTATGAGGAGGAGTGTGCTGTATGTGAGTGAGTTTAGTTTTACACCGCACTCAGCAATATAGCTGGAATATTGCTGAGTGCGGCGTAAACCTAAACTCACTCACTCACTCACTGTCATACAGTCACACTCGGTATTGACCTTGAATTGTGTAAGACACGCAAAATGACGTTTTGAATGTTCACATTCACCAATAAATTCCACATTAAACATTCCAGAACCATACTTGTACAGACATGGTTTTGTATGAAAATCAGTGTGTTTTCTTCAAATGAGCAGTTATCATCATAAAATCATCACAGATTCCAATCATTTTGTCGTTTTATTATGAGTCAAAGAAGAATACGGGTTAGAAAAACTCATGTTTTGCCATTGTGGCCACCACGAGAAGTATTATGTACGTGTTAAAAACCTATCATTGCAAAAATACAGGGGGTGCTTAATAAGTTCTTTGTGTATATTTCATGACTTTACTTTGCTAATGGGCGGTGGGGTAGCCTAATGATTAAAGCGTTGGCCCATTTCTGGTGTCCCCCGCCGTGATGTTGCTGGAATATTGCTCAGTCAGTCAGTCAGTCAGTTACTTCGCTAAATAAACTTCATTACTACACTTTGAGAATTATATTTCACCACTACCCATTGTGAAAAACATTTCATTACTACCGTAACGTTTCAAGACATTATTTCATTACTACCCTTTAAAAACCATTCATCACTACTCTTCGAGAAATATATTTCATTATTTCACTTCAAAAAACAAAATTCATTAGCACACTTCGAGAAACATTACGACCATTACTGCTATCACTGCGTAAACGGACTCAGACTGAAACTTCCATGTAATTACCAAGGAAAACGAGAGTTTGGGCAAATACACAAATATACGTCAATCTCACCAGAAACTAAGGAAATATTGTGGTGGCGCGTGGTCCTGTGCTCAAAGCTCAGGTCACAAATCGGTGAAGTTAAGCAGCGTCGAGCTCGGAGAGTCCTTGGATGGGTCACCATGTTTGGCACCTTGACTCCTGAGAGTTTCTAGGACTTGAGTCCTGCCCCACAACGAAGAAAGTGTGATACATGTAGTCTCACCTTAGGCAAGTGAGTTTGTTCAAAATTGCCTCTGTTCACTCAGCAGAAAATGGGTACCCGGTGGAAAATGTCATATGACTATAACCTTCTAGCGCCTAACAGGCAGCTTGGGTTATCAGGGTAATAATGTGCTGTGCCTTGATTGTTAGCGCTATGAGCATACCTAGTGTGGAGTTTGGCGCTATATTATTTTATTATTAGATATGTAACATGAAAGCGTGATCAGTCTCGAATACAATGATACCATGGGTTAAGACCCTAGTCTAGACCTGTACAAAAAAATAAACATACAAAAAACGCAACAAAACAACAGTAAATACAATTCGTTATAAGCGAAACCATTAAAAAACCCGACACAAAACCCCAACAAAACAACGAAAGATACATAATTCGTTAAATGCAAACACAAAAACAAAACCCTAAGAAAACAAAGAAAACAACAGAAATACAATTTGTTATATGGTGTTCGTTATTATTTATTGTATTTAGTTGCATGATTTGTCCTGTCTGGCATCTAGAAACACGATGTTGGTTGCAGATAATTAATGAAATAAAATTATCATTATTAACGGAATATAAATTTGGTGCCTACTTCCACATATTGGGGTTAAATTAAAAATGTATTATCCTAAACTGCAGTGACAGGCGTGAACTAATTTCACAATTAGTGTGAGTCATATTTCCTCGTGCTTTTTTACAAGGCTTTGAGCGACTTGCACTGTGTGACTACCGCTTCATCCATTTACTGCATATCCACGCAACCATGCACCTGACTGTTCTTCTGCTGGTGGTCCTACAAAACACCAGTATTTGTGAGTATTGAAGCGTACAAAAATAATGTTTTTTTTCTACGATTGACTTTTCTGCTTACTCTGTTCAGATATTGTCAAGGAAAACAGATTCGGTTTTGAATTCCGGAAAAGGTACACAGGGTAAAGCCCATACTTGGGTTACTCCGCAAATATTTCTGAATTATAGAACTCTTAACCACACACTAAGATATGCCATAGTGGAATGACATCTTCCGATAACACGTACCGTTTCCAAAGACTTACGACACATTTGAATGCTCAAAGCTTGTTTGATCAAGGTTACAGCCTTCAAGGCATTATTATTGTTTTATGGAAGACACAGGTTCAGCACTATTCCGGCAATTCATTCATAGTGGATTCGAACCCGGACCTTCAACATGACGAGTGAGTGAGTTTAGTTTAACGCCACACTCAGCAATATGCCAGCTATATGGCGGCGGTCTGTAAATAATCGAGTCTGGACCAGACAGTCTAGTGATCAACAGCATGAGCATCGATCTGCGCAATTGGGAACCGATGACATGTGTCAACCAAGCCAGCGAGCCTGACCACCCGATTCCGTTTGTCGCCTCTTACGACAAGCATGGGTTACTGAAGGCTCATTCTAACCCGGACCTTCACGGGTCTCAACATGACGAAAGAGCGCCTATAGTCCGTTATAGATATTTGGAGGACATTTTTACATTTGTCGCATCAGTACCGAAAATACTACTTGATGTAATATCCTATTTTGACTAGTACAGTATTGTCAAGCGGTATTCTAATTTTGGACAACTGTGTTGCCTTTGCGTGTGTTTGTGACGCGTGACAGAGGTAAGGCGGGATACGCTAACCCTTTCGTGAATACGTGGTGTCATGGTTATCTCCCAACTGACAGACACACATTTTACAGACACCCATTTGACAGACACTAAACTAGAAGGTTAATTAGGGTAACACCTACCTATAATGGAACAGTCCACTGTCTAGTGAGTAGAGTAGATTAAGTCTGAAACAGGTTACAGAGAAGTTTGATTGTGTGTAAATAGAACTTTGTTGTGATTAAATGATTTCTCTTCTCAAGATTGTTTTTACTATCAGTTACCATTGAATATAAAAACAGGTTTGTCACTGTGTTTATTGATAGAAAAGCCCTCCCCCAATAATAGGATATGTACAACAGAAGTTAACTAAAGATTGTAACAGTTTATGTCTTTGAAAAGTATACAATGGACATTCATGGAAGTAATGAAAAACATTCTCACATCCATGGCCACATTGACTTGATTCGCCACATTATAAAGTGTACTCGTGATATATCTTAATCTTGTGTGCAAAACATTTAACTTCTTTATTCCATAAGAATGATATTTAGGTTCACATTTATCTTTCACGTGCATATAAGATTTAAATGATACGACGAGTCATGAGTCGCAATTTCTAATAGCTAAGGGAATACTATTCCACATTTAACTGCTGATAGCTAAGGGAATACTATTCCACGTTTAACTGCTGATGGAATGAAAGATGATGTTGAGTTGCTTACTGCAGGTGGAAGTAAATCCTGAAGAAAAACTGGTGTTGTTCTGTTTAGTCATTCTCTTCCCACAGAGGTTACTCGTCATATCTTCTTACGAACCTCTGTTCTAATACGGCCCTTTCATGGTGCGATTGTTCAGGATTCGTGATTGGTTGCAATCAGATTTAGTTGTGCAATCAGCGACGTTGTTTCAAAAGGGATCATTCGCAAGACCTCGGTAATTTCCGTATGCTTCGGGAAAACTAGAACCTCTTCCCCTGTGCGATGCGCAAACGTTTCTTCTAGACAGAACTCAGTCATGTTATGGCTGATCAATGGCGTCTCCAACGCCCTCGTTGACAACGGACAAGCTAGCCATTAAATGTCTTGTGTGTCACATCAACACAAGTCCACGGCAGAGGAGGGATATTTGTGGCCTCATATTTGCTTGTTTTGTCAAGTTGGATCTAAGTCGATGTAACACGTGTTCTGATTGGATAGAAAGAAGGGAGATAATTCATGTTGCGATTTTGTGCCGCTAGGGGATTTTATGAGAACCGGGAAATATGGCCGTATTAGAAGAGAGGTTCGTAGGAAGATATGACAAGTAACCTCTGTGGGAAGAGAATGCTGTTTCGTAGGAACTACTCCAATCATTTCAGATATCTTTTTGTCAATGTTTTCAATATGAGGATGCCAACTCCCGTTAGACTAGAAGGTTAAACCGAAATGTTTATGGAAATCAACTGTTTTTATATTGCAGCAATAAAAATTCAAATTACTGTCTTTTCGGCTATCTTTCAAAGTAAATAATATAGCTTCAGTTTGTTCCTGTGTTTTTATTTGGACTATTCCATTATAATGTATAGGTAAAAGGTAGTAGCTAATATGTTCATTGAACCGTAAATGTTGTTGTGTATTGTTGCGAACTGCCTGTCTGCGTAATGGGAGGACACCAGTGTCATCAGTATTTTAGGTTATTCATAAACAAATTATCATGAATCAGGCTAAAGTCGACTCGTGGGACAAATTGTTTGTGGCTATGGAAAAGGTTTTGTCGCTTCTATTAATCGTATGCAGCCATGTTGGGTTTGTTTCGCTACCGTTGCATGTCCCCGTATATCAACTCGTGAGGCATAATGCACCGTATACAGGTACTCTGCAGCGTTGAGAGATGGTGGGGTAGCCTAGTGGTTAAAGCGTTCGCTCGTCACGCCGAAGACCCGGGTTCGAATCCCCACATGGGCACAATGTGTGAAGCGTTATTTCTGATGTCTCCCGTCGTGATGTTGCTGGAATTTGCTACAAACATCGTAAACGCAACTCACTCACTTCGCAGCTTCAGATCTTCTGTTAACTGTAAGAGGACGTTCTCGTAATATAATATAAGATGTGCAGTAAATATCATATCGAGGAAGGCATATTAGTTTCCATACGGAAGTCATAACCAGCTGATCAATAAGTGCAATGTCGTCATATTTATCTCCCACAGTTGAGAGCCTGCAACAAAAAGCTCATAAAACGCTCGCTTGAGACACCGATCATCTCTGTACGAATCGCACCATGGGTACATGGAATCGTATGGTTCTTCCGTGTCATTGTATTTGGATGTACATTATCTACGGTTATTACGAACTCAAAGGGGCACCCAAATTTGGTTAAATCTTACCATAGTTTTCAAAAAAATGCATTTCGACTCAAATGCACTATGACTGGGACCCACAGTTCGGTTTGTTATATCAGTGAATTCGTCATTACCGTGCCGTGTTCGTTATAAGCAAAGTTTACTATATTGCCTTAAGTTATGGTGTTTGTACAGATATTGTTTGATTATGATCCATTCTAGTAGGTGCATATAGCGTTAGTAGTAGTAATACTCATTTTAATGACGTCATAGAATACTATATCATTCGAGAATGACGGCATTGCACACAATTGAATGAATGCTACCGAAAACGATTGATAACGTTTGAATTTACAATACAGTAATGTACGTTTATAACGAACATGCTGATAGCGAACCAACGGATATAGCGAAACATGCTTTAGATCCCAGTCATTTGCTGTATATTTCAGTCGAAATCCGTATAACGAACTACGGGTATAGCGAAATAAAGCCGATGGTCCATTCGAGTTTGTTATAACCGCAGTTAATATTATGCTTCATTGGCGGATCGCTCCCTTTTGAAAATGACTTAAGACTTATCGAAGATTTTTTTTTTACGATGGCGGAGCCAATAGGGGGGTTCAGGGTTCAACCCCCTGACCCCGCCTCCTTTCAAAATTCCTGGATCCGCCCATGTAGCTTTCATATCTGCGGATCCTATTGAGTATTCGATACCCAGAAATTACATCTGTTGATTCTGTAATTAATTTTAAGTTGCACGGTGTAGCACTATTTCTGTGCTTTTTTTAAACGTCGCCATAAAACGTCGCCATAAAACAAAACATACAATTGATTCCTCGTGGGATGTGTTAGCTACAAAATAGTCTGGTATAGAAAACCATGCGGCGAACATAGTCGGCAATGTTTATAACGAACGCACTTCTATCGGATATATAGAATCTTTTGGTTTCGGTCAGTTGCTACGGATATAACGGACACAAAATTGGTGAATACTTTGAGTTCGGTATATCCGTAGTTTAACACGTCCCCAAATAATCGTCAGATCTCGGCTACATCCTGTCCAACACTTCAGTTCTCATTCATCCTTTCACCAAACGTGATATTGCTGGAATGTTGCGTAAAACAAAGCTGACTCACTCACTTGGCGCTGAAAGGCCTGGTCCTTTATGGACCTAAGACGACTCAACTGTCATGGATTTCATTCCAGTCAAGCTATCTTTTGTCGGTATGAAAAATCCTTGTTCGTGGATACTACAAGGTGCACCTTTCAGAGCCTTATATTTTTGGATAATGATTTATGTTTTTCAACTTCTTCATAAGATGTAAATATATTGCATATGTGCATAAGATTGACCAGATCAACAAAACCGTTTTATGGATTTGAAGATAGGAATTTGTTTACCTACGATCGCCTAAGTTGTTTTGCCACTTTTGTTGTTAACAATATTTGCGCGATATTTGAGCGTTCTAAAATAATCGAAAATCGAAGGACAATCCAGTGACAGATATCATGAGCACCCATTAAGTCGCCTCTTCCTACTGGCATAGATGACAAGCGTCAGTTTACCAGTTTCTTCTGACTGTCAAGTTACGTTTTCTTTTGCAGATACTTCATCAGCCAAGCCCGTGGCCACTGCGGCCGCTGCCGTACTTGACACGCCGTTCACACTACAATGTCGGAATAATTCGTTAACGCACCGTGAGGAGCAGGCCAGGAACTGTAGTTGGACCAGAAACAACAAACCGATACGGAAATCTAACACAAACTTCAATATGGAAGGATTTAAACTGAAGATCAGACGTTTCATCTGGAGAAGGAAACAGCAATTTCAGTGTTCCTGCATTCCAAGTCGAAGTCAATCCTTCACTATTACAGCTGAACGTAAGATAGTTTCTGTTTAAACATTATCAAAATTATTTTTATTGCTAGTAAAAGACATGGAGGTTTTCATGTCGTTTCATTTACGCATCTCTTCTAATCGAATATTTTACCCCGATTATTTAATCTTTAATTAATTGAACACTGCCATTCTTCCCTTACTAACGATAAGTTTATTCTTGCTAAAGAAGGTATTCAATTTGCCACACGTACTGTTTCATCTCAGGCACTATGAGTTGTAGCATTGTAATGAGGAGTATACGGGGTTTATGCACCTTGTGTTTGGTTTTATCCACCGAGCCGGAGGCGATGTTGTTATATCGTTAATATTGCTGTGTGTCTATATCTCGTTATGGCTGATTTCACTTCTTATTGGAGGCATAAAGCCAAGTAATGTATTGGCTGCACTGTCTATGCATTGTTCAACTAAATTCGCGGAACAAAATCGAAACTGCCTTGCGGATGTCGGTCGATTTCAGGATTTGCGAAATATATGTATCGTGAGCTTGGCGTCGGCAGGTATTTTTCAAATCTTTTCATGTCCTTAATCAAACTGCTCAAGTGAACGAGTCATTACAATATAGATCTTATCAATTAGACTGTCTTGACCGGGCGCTGTCGCCATTTGCAAGTAATATGATAGGTGGAATATGATTGGCTAATAGGAAGGACATGGAAGAGACATAAACGTTCGTATTAGTCACGGAATTTCAGCCTATAGTTGGGCATGAAATGCATGTTGACCCGTTTTTTTGTAAATATCTCTTCATCCAATGACCCAATCGATCTCAAACTGTGCAAGTGGATGTTTTGTCAGACAACCTAATCACATTGTAATCACCGAGTTTATGCATTTGTATTAAAGAATCTGTCTATGTAACTGTCAACAAAATAAACAGCAGCCCGCAGACTGCTTGCAGAGGGAGGGAGCCAATGACCAATGACCAACGACACCACCCATGGTCCATCGGAACTTAAAGGTTACCGAAGAGATTCAGTGCTGATGGAAAAAGGTTCGTATTACCATTATTTACCTTCATGTATGGCACCACAAAATTCTCTTTTCGTTTAAACGGAATCTGTATTTTTTAGGTGCTCCGCATGTCAACGTTAACATGGCGCAAGGGTCCGGCAGATGGGAGCGGATTCATTTCAACCTCACTGCAAAGCCCGAACCTGTCATTACCGACTGGTATGGAATCCTGTCCAATGGAATTTTGTCCCGAGTGGATCCTACGAGAAGTCGCACAGAACTGAAGCACATTTCCGGTATATCTTACCGCTTGCAGCTCGACCACGTGGATGTCACGGACAAGGATGCTGGGGTTTACATCGTCAACGTCTCCAACGCCAGGGGCAGCTACGTTTTCAACTACAGCATTGTTGTTCGTGGCAAGTATTTACGTCTGGTTTAACGTTTGGTTTAACGCCGCTTTGTACATGATGTGCGTGAGTGAGTGAGTGAGTGAGTGAGCGAGTTAGTGAGTTTGGTTTTACGCCGCTTTTTGCAATATTCCAGCAATATCACGGCAGGGGACACCAGATATGCGCTTCGCATATTGTGCTCATGTGGGGAATCGAACCCGGGTCTTCGGTGTGAAAGCTGTTAACTAATTTACTGAATTTTTGGTAAAACTTTCTTACTCTAGGTCTACTGTACCTAACAGTAATCAAGTATTGTGATGTGATGTGTAGAACTGCATCCCTCTGAGGTGCGAGAAGGTTATGGACATGGGTTTCTCAATAGACACACACAAAACCTGCATCACTTAAGGCGTATCAAAACAGAAACACAGTAAATTAGTTTAAAGTGATGTTAAGCAAATCTTCTCACTCTTAAACTAGGGACAGTCGGGTAGCCCAGTGGTTAAAGCGTTCGCTCGTCACGCCGAAGACCCGGGTTCGATTCCCAAATGGGTACAATGTGTGAAACCCACTTCTGCTGTCCCCCGCCGTGATATTGCTGGTGCATTGCTTGTACTTACTTACTCAGTTAAATGACTTACAAATAACATAGTCTGTTACACCAAACCCACTCAGCAAGAGAATTGACGGGCGAAACTAAAACAAAAATTCATGTATGGCGAAAATTGATCACTTGATATTTTCTTTAAATTGAGATTGTCGGGGAGAGAGTCGTTTTGCTTCGGGCACAATGATGTTAAAAAATAGAGATGATGAAAGGTCAAGCTGACTAGATTTATCCGAGGCTATGATTGTTATCACCACGTAAAGGCATAAGTCTGTGCAGTGCAGAAAACTGAGATGAGAAAACTTTGTAGTATTTAACTTCGGGATGAAAATTCAGGGAAGACGAAAGTTGTGAACCACAGAACAAATATTGACAGCTTTACCATGTGTCAGTTCATCATACATGTTTCCGTATTTATTTCCAGATGAAATGAATACTGACCTACCTTCCTCGAGTAAGTTCAACGTCGGGTTTTACAATAAATAAAGATATTTGAGTGAGTGAGAGAGTGGGTGAGTTTAGTTTTACGCCGCACTCAGCAATAGTCCAACTATATATGGTGGCGGTCTGTAAATATTCGAATCTGGACCTGACAATCCAGTGAGCAACAGCATGAGCATCAATTTACACAATTGGGATACGGTGACATGTGCCAACCAAGTCATCGATCCTAACCACCCGATTCTGTTAGTGGCCTTTTAGGACAAGCATGGGTTACTGAAGATCAATTCTAACCCGGATCTTCACGGGTCTAAAGATATTTGTACCATGTAACGGTGAAATACCATAATCATGTACAAAGGTCGAAGTATACATAAATATATTGCTCACTGGCCACGGAATGAAGGTTTAGATGATCTTATGTATGGCTTTTTATTTTTGTGCAAATCAATCGTTCTTGTTAGAGTAGTTTGATGTTTTTTTGATCGCCTATCGGGATCTAAAGGGAAGTCCCGCCTCACACTGTGTACACTTACCTTCGTATCTACATCGCTTTTGAGGAAGGAAAATTACTGCAGATTTCACCTTATAAACTGCATTCTCTTCCCACAGAGATTACTTGTCATATCTTCCTACGAACCTCTGTTCTAATACGGCCCTTTCATGGTGCGAGTGTTCAGGATTCATGATTGGTTGCAATCAGATTTAGTTGTGCAATCAGCGACGTTGTTTCAAAAGTGATCATTTTGCAAGGCCTCGGTAATTTCCGTATGCTTCGGGAAAACTAGAACTTCTTCACCTGCGCGATACGCAAACGTGTCTTAAAGACAGAACTCAGTCGTGTAAATAACGGATCAATGGCGTTTCAACCGCCCTCGATCGTTTAGCTAGCCATTAAATGCCTTGTGTGTCACATCAACACAAGTCCACGGCTGAGGAGGGATATTTGTGGCCCCACATTTGCTTGTATTATTCAAGTTCGATCTAAGTCGATGTAACACATGTTCTGATTGGATAGAAAGAAGGGAGACAATTTGTGTTGCGATTTTGTGCCGCTAGGGGATTTTATGAGAACCGGGAAATGTGGCCGTATTAGAACAGAGGTTCGTAGGAAGATATGACAAGTAATCTCTGTGGGAAGAAAATGCTTAAGCTGTAGCAGAAGTTGAAAATGAAAATGTCGAAAAATGTAAAGAAATAAAATGTCTGTTAGGCCCCTCTCCACATTCAAACAACAGAACACTTGAAAGTCTTCTAGGAAACACATAGTTTAAGGGCTATGCTTCTGAGAACTAATCTGTGAGTCTCCTCGATAACATGTATCGATTTTAATATCACCATCTTCATCTCTCCCATGGGTAACTTAGCACATAATTTATTCGCTCATGAGAATAATTTGATTGGATGTCTATTTTTTAAGACTTAGCCGTTCGAGTCAGCCTCAAATGTAATGTAGCTACGGGTCCACGGTATAAATCTTGCTATCTAGGATATATAATTTCCTGGATTCTCAAGGATGCGCGTCAATCGTCTGATTTTGGATATATTTTCAAGGTCCGCTTTTCATCGGCGCGTCAGTAGCATTGGCCTTGGGTATCCTGGCTCTGGTTGTGGGATGCTGTTTGACGTGTAAAGGTAGTAACACTTGTTTCTGATACCACAGTCAATATAATGTCATCGATAATCTCTTAATCTGTAAAAAAATAATAAAAATGTAATCCTGAATTTTACATGGTGACTGCATGAACTTGATATATTTGTAGTGAGTGAGTGAGTTTTACGCCGATTGTAGCAATGTTCCATCAATATCACGGCGGCGGACACCAGAAATGGGCTTCACACATTATACCGCTGTGGCGAATCGAACCCGGATATTTGGCGTGACGAGCGAACGCTTTAACCACTAGGCTACCCCACCGCCCCGATATATTCATATGATGAATATATTACATTCATTTCAGCCATGTCAGCAGGGCTGGGAAAGCGTGCAGCTGGTAAGTATCGAGTGACATACATTACGCCAAGAACCGGGCAGCCTGAAACTATTGAAGGTAATAACAGTACTCTCTCAATATACATATTTTGTGTTTGTTTTATGTGTGGCTATTACTTGATAACATCTGACATGCTTCTGACAGCACACCAAGTATTATCATTGACCGACACCTCTGTGAGCGTACCACGTATTATCATTGACCGTCACCTCTGTGAGTGTACCACGTATTATCATTGACCGTCACCTCTGTGAGTGTACCACGTATTATCATTGACCGTCACCTCTGTGAGCGTACCACGTATTATCATTGACCGTTACCTCTGTGAGCGTACCACGTATTATCATATCATTGACCGTATTATCATTGACCGTCACCTCTGTGAGCGTACCACGTATTATCATTGACCGTCACCTCTGTGAGTGTACCATACTATCATTGACTGTTTCATCTGTGAGCGTACCACGTATTATCATTGACCGTTACCTCTGTGAGCGTACCACGTATTATCATTGACCGTTACCTCTGTGAGCGTACCACGTATTATCACAGACCGTCACCTCTGTGAGCGTACCAGCGTTAATCCTTATGTTGCACCTGTAACTTTGCCAGCAAACACAACGTTGAGACCACCAGAATCATTTGTAATTTGAAACGCCGAGTTGTTTCCTGGCGACCCACTTCAGGTTAACTAATTTCAGGAGCAGATACAGCTTTTGAGAAGTGTGTGTGTGTGTGTATGTGTGTGTGTGTGTGTGTGTGTGTGTCTGTGTGCTGTGTGCGTGCGTGCGTGTGCGTGTGCACATTTCACTTTGACCCACAACTGCACAACCCCCAATCCCTACCCCCTTCTGGATCCGCCTATCTATTTTGCATACTTTTGTTATTGGTGCATGAAATACATGTTTTTATATCATAAGCTTATGTCACGAATAAACTGTTTAGTTAAATGATAAAAAGGCGTATTCAGTACTTACTAAAATTATTTTCTACAAATGCTCGGACAAAAAGACCATCGTGAAGCACTCACATTTACATAGCTTAAGGGACGACATAAATCAGTATATTTAAAAACCTTTACAAATGTCTTCAAATATCATCACAAAGAGACAATGACAAATCGTTTGGTTTCAGATGAACCAGGATCCGAGTGGGAGTCTGAAAGCATCAAAGATCTGGGGTTCGCTGTGTCGGGGGGAGTCACAGACGACTGCATATACGAGTCGAGAGACTATGAACTGCCACACAATGCAACTATCAACAAGCATTAAACACTTCAATGCGTGAATTTTATTCAATGTAATTTCTGAATCAGTCTTTAGGGCCTATGGACTACTTCCAGTACTGAGACGGGGCACAGCTTACTTCCAGTACCAGATTTTCGGTGATAAATGTATATTCAAGAACCAGTTCTGGTTCCAAATTTCGCGACTGCCAAATATGACGTTACTAGACCGGACCAAGAACACAGCCATGCTTGGCTGTCACAGATGTTGACAGTCGTAATAGTTGGCTAATTTGGGGGTGGTTATATCGGAAATTTGTTATACCTGCAGGGATTACCGATTCCTTACTGTCAAATGACAACCATGAGACAATTCCAAAAGGTCTGTTTGTCACTGAGCGTAAGCGTAATGTGGGCGGAAGGCTGGAAGTAGAGCAGATCTCAGGCGTTTACCGCTCCGGTTAAACCCGCCGGTACATGTGTGGTGTGGCTGACAAACCCCAAAATGACCAGTGCCAATTTGGAAACCAGTCTATCAAAGTTTTGGGGGCAGCGTTCTACGACTGGGGATGGGGACTCCACACAGGGAATCGAACCAGGGTCTTCGGCGCGACGAACTACCAGACTACCCAACTGCCTCTTTTCAACGGGATGAAAACATTTTTCTTTTCACAACTCTTCACTCTTCACAGTTATAGTAAGTCGATATCGAAATTGATGTATATTGTTAAACTCACATCTTTATAGCGTGGAATGTATGTACTTAAATAAAATTATTAAAACCCATCAGCTATTCGTATAATGTATCGTTTTCTACGAATTTAAGTCAGATGTAGGATGACACATCTTGTGTTTCACAGGGTCCTGGCGAGTGTATTTTCAAAGCGACTGAGTCAGTGAGTTTCGGTTTTACTTTTTTATCAATATTCCAGCAATATCACGCCAGAAATGGGTTTCACACATTGTACTCTTCGGCGTGACGAGCGATCGCTTTAACTACAAGCTTAAGGCTACCCCACCGCCCCTATATTCAAAGGCGTGGTCGGTCATGAACGATCCAAACGATTTTCCTTTGTTGTACTCAAACGTTTTATAACTTTTAATAGATTGCATGATACGCTGTGTCGGTATTATAAAATCCGGAACTACTATTGTTTCGTGAGATGCTTTATTCACAACTGGCTACTTACAACTTAACAAGGTTTGGGTCAACGTTTGTTTTTAACAAATAGAGTGAAATGGTATTTACCTCAACCAGGTAGTTGTGATCTAGACTTAAGAAAACTTGACATGCAATTGCCACATGTCATCGTATAGAATTGGTCTTCAGCAACTAATGCTTGCAAAATTGTCGTAAGAGGCGACTAACGGAATCGGGTGGTCAAGCTCACTGACTTGGATGACACATGTCACCGTATCCAAATTGCGTAGATCGATGCTACAGCTGTTAATCAATGGCTTGTCTGGTCCAGATTCAATATTGTTGAGTGGGGCGTTAAACAACCAACCAACCAAACCAACTTGTTACCAAACGACTTTACACATGCCCCAACAACTCCTAGAGTGGCAGCTGAGGACATTGTTCTCAACTAAATAAAATTTGACATGCAGCCTAACAGCAAATCTAACACATTCAACCATACCCTCAACCGCTTAAACAACCACACTCTCTGACATTCACTTAACACCGTCATCAGCACCACCTGGGGCCTACGGTACTTCTGGTACTGAGCTGGTTCCCGGCTCCCTTTGCGCACGCCAACTTGCGATATGCGAGACGGGTACCAGATTTCCGGTGACAGGCGTATGTTCAAGAACCAGTTCTGGTTCCAAATTGCGTGACTTTACTAGACCGGACTAAGAGTACAACCATGCTTGGCATTCGCAGCTGTTGAGTACAGTCGTAATACATGGCTAATTTGGGGATGGTTGGATCGGAAATTTGTTATTACTGAAAGGATGATCGGTTCCTTACTGTCAACTGACAACCATGAGATCATTCGAAAAAAGGTATGAAGCGTTGTTTATCACCGGAAATAGTAAGGTCTCGCGAAGTGCCGTGACATATTTACGGGCTCTATTGCATATCATTACCCAAGTACTCGATAGACTCCTGTTTTGAATGCATGTTTCATTAGTTCGTCAACCCATTTTCGTTGGCAGCTATCAAACAGGGAAATTATAAATTTACGTAAAATTCTGACCAAGTGTTAACAATACATGTCAGTGAGCGAGATATATGTTTCCTGTTAATACGAGAAAGTAACGAATCAATATGGACCCAAAACTGAGGACTATATATTTTTTTCAAACCTTATTGTTATAAATACATGACTGAAGTAAATACTGATTGTCCAAGACACTTGTTTGCTGTAAGTGATAGTATTATTTATTTTTGTGATCCTATTACATATCTGGAAAAAAATATGATATTCATAAACATGACAATACGTTTGACACACAGTCATAAAAGCAGGTTACTGTATCAAAACACACACAAAAACACGCACAAGAAATAATATCAAGAACAAACCTTTTTTATAAACCCGCATAAAAAATGAAAATAATGTTTAAACATAAATGAATGAAAATGACAAAAGGAGAAGATTCTTGGGGATTGGCAATATGTGTATGTGTAAGTTTAGTTTTACGCCGCACTCCAGCTATATGGCGACAGTTTGTAAAAAATCGAGCCTGGACCAGACAATCCAGTGATCAGCAGCATGATAATCGATCTACGCAACTGGGTTACGATGACATGTGTCTACCAAGTCAGCGACCCTGACCACCCGATCCCGCTAGTCGCCTCTTACTACAAGCATGGATCGCTGAAGATCAGTCCTAACCCGGATCTTCACGGGAAGGATATATATATATATATAATATATATATATATAAAGAAAGTGATGAGAATACCGAGCGTACAGTAGTACATATATAAGAAGAAGTTTCTGAAATAATTACACAACAAGAAGATCCGTGTTGTGTAATTATTTCAGAAACTTCTTCTTATATATATATATATATATATATATATATATATATATATATATATATATATATATATATATATATATATATACTAGGCACATTAAGAAACTGCATACAAAAATTTAAAATATAAATTCATCAAACCTGTGTAGACACATAAGGATTCAAACTCAGAGATTAGTGACATGTATCCAACATACATGCACGTGCCACGTTCCGTAACGTCAGTGGGTTCGTCCTTGAGACGTGCAATACGTTGTTGCACGTGCATTCCGGGAAAGAGAAACAGAGCAAATGAATGCCACACAATACTGCCTCTTTGGAAAGCCCAACCCCTGCCCTTGCGATCGTTCAAAACAATAAACGGCTATTGAAACGCATAGCAAACCGAAACATGAGTCTCATTAACCTATTTAGACAATGACCTACTTTTCAGCCGATCCAAATTTTCTCGTGTGAAAGTGAAAATAGACATCACAAACAACTATAGTTACATTGAATTCCAATGCCTTGTTTCATAGGAAAATAGTTTTTAAAAATGAATATTAATGCTACACTTTAATAACATCGTATTTCTATATTTTATGGCGAGGTGTGGGCAGCATGACCTTAACTAAGACGTCACAGACTGCCCCAAATCGATGAGGTCGTAAAAGGATTCACAATGCATCAGACTCACTGGTTACACCTATTATCTGTTTTTTGCGCCTATTCAGTGTAGTTCTTTAACGCACAATGTGACTGATATAATATTAAGTCCGTACCAGACCGCCAAACGCCAAACTTTTCTAGCGGCAGAGCCAAGTTTTGAGATTTCCACGATTTCCAGGTGTCTGTTTGTCAGTGCTCGCTGTACGACAGAGCACGCTGCACGACATGTTTGCAAGCATTATAAGGAGCGTAGTGTTGCAATATACAAGTGCTTAGATGTATCAAATAATACTGATTAATATCTATGTATCCAGTTAAATGAATTAGTCTAAAAATTCGGGACTGGTTATTGTACTAAGTTGCACAATAGGACGGAACCCAGTCAACAGGAAACGAGACTGTTCTGCAATCAATGTTTTGACTTGATGCCAAGGCTAAACGTCTGCACAATGTCATGAGGCCATTGGGATGGCCTACCCTGACACAACGTCATCGACAAGCTAACCGAATGTGGTGCCGAAATCATGTCCGCAGACCCTTGTTTTGGTGGAGAAATGTTGTTTTTACAGATGAGTCTAGGTTTAACATTTCCCATAGTGATGGACGTCAACGTGCCTATAGACGCGTAGGAGACATTATGCACAGGCCTGTGTCTTGGAGAGGAATCGCTTTGGTGGTGGTTCCCTGATGATTTGGGGTGAAAATAACAGCACGCCAAAGAACTCCTTTGGTGGCTGTTCAGGGCAACTTAACTGGTGTTGGCTACAGGGATCAGATTCTTCGACCTGTGGCAATTCCATTTCTGCAAAGTCATGGCCCTGGGTTAACATTCCAACAGGACAATGCCCGCCCTCATACGGCAAGGGTTGCTATGGAATTCTTGCAACACCTCAACGTTGACTTACTGCCTTGGCCTGCAAATTCACCGGATCTACCCCCGATAGAGCATGTTTGGAACGAGATGGATCGACGTCTACGCCGTCTTCCTCATCCGCCAGATAACGTCCTTGACCTTGCAACAGAACTTGAGAGAATCTTGGCGTGACATCCCACAAGCCTTCCTTGCACGTTTGATAGGCTCTATGCGTCGTCGATGCACTGCTGTTCTCAATGCCGATGGTGGACATACCCGTTATTGAGCTTGTGACATGGTCGTTTGACCCCTGTCCCGCTTGTGGACGTCATTGTGACTGACTTTTCAATTGACATTCTCCCGACTTGTTATGGTCTCATGATCCCTCCATTAAAGTTTATATGTACCTTTGACATTGTTATCGTACTTATCAACTGGGATAATATTTTGACAATGCACAGTTTCTTTATGTGGCAAGTGTATATATATAGTTTATATACATATATATATATATATATATATATATAATTGATAAGACAATAAAAGGAGGTTATTTGTGAAAGTAAAACCCAAATATGTACTAATGCTCTCAATGACCGGCTTATTTCTAAATACAACGTAAACAAGTTGTGAGTAGTTAAAGACTGCTAATTTACACCATATAATACGGTATAGCTGAAGAATAACCATTCTCGACTTCCTAAGTGAGACAGAATCCATCGCGTACAGAACAGCGCGTACAGGTTTATGCATAGATCAAAGAAACATCAGTGATGACATCGGCGTCAAGAATTCTTTAATGCACGTGTAAAGCAAGTTAGTCATGGCGTATTTGTGCGAGTGTTTTTATAGTGACTACTCCACATTATTTTATTTTTGTGTGTGTGTGTGTGTGTGTGTGTGTGTGTGTGTGTGTGTGTGTGTGTGTGTGTGTGTGTGTGTGTGTGTGTGTGTGTGTGTGTGTGTGTGTGTGTGTGTGTGTGTGTGTGTGTGTGTGTGTGTTTTGTCGAGCATGCGATGCTCTATAGTATGTTTTAAATGAACCGTTATTGTTTGAGGGTACATTAACCTTGACCTCACGGAAAGTGAAACGTTGAACTGGAGAGAGAGAGAGAGAGAGAGAGAGAGAGAGAGAGAGAGAGAGAGAGAGAGAGAGAGAGAGAGAGAGAGAGAGAGAGAGAGAGAGAGAGAGAGAGAGAGAGTGCCCATTCAATTCATCAACGCCGTCCTTGATATTAATGGGTACGATCTGCTTCCGTGTAGACTGTTTCCGACAGAATATCTGGCTCTCGTATATACTTCCCTGTAACTGTATTACCAGCAACCGTCAATCGAATGTCATCATAAAATATCACGCCTGTGTATTTCCATATCGAAACTAAAATAACGCTGTGCTATAGCTGCAGTGAAGGACACGCCATCTAACAGGCTGCTGCAGCCTATCATCATGTTGCTTCGCATCTTCATCCTCTTGTCTTGTCACTTCACCGATGCTTGTAAGTACATGTATATATTTATAGGTGAGGTGACATGGAGTTTGAGAATATTTCGCTCATATGACGACGTGCATGCGTGTGTATGTGTGGCTGCTTGTACTAGCCCAGACTTAAGCTGGTTTTATAGTGCTACCTCACTGAGATACCATGCCGCAGTGAAGCATGAATACCCAACTCAGACACATTGAGCCTACCAGTCCTTGTTGTACCTATTACTGCCGAGCGCCAGGCAGGGACTAACAAGTACCATATTTTGAAGTCTTTTGGTATGGCGCGGGGGAATCGAACCCGCGACCTTCCGCTCTCCGCGCTAACCACCGTGTCAGGGAGGCGGTGTATTTATTTATTAACTTCAGAAGCTGTTGAAAAGCATGTTCTTTATGTCGCTTTCTCGCCTCCGAATTTTAAGGCGAGAAAGCGATGTCCCTAATCAGTCATAACATTAACAAATGAATATTTTGAGAAGGATTTTTGACTATTTCGACTATAAGTTTGTGCATTTTTCTTCTAAACGCCAACAGTTACAAACATAGTACCGTTGAACTTAACTAGGATTAACACTCCTCCCAAGAATATAGAACATTGTAAATGCTGGCATGTAAAATGATTATTGCAAAGCATCATTTAGCGGAATCTGACATTGACTGCACTGCAATTGTTTCAGATAACGTTTTCGTAAGAGTTGGCAAAGAGCTCAGTGAAGATATCGTCATTCCTTCTTCAACCGTGATCTACGCTCTGAGCCCGTCTAATGACTTCCTGTGCACTATAACCAACAGCGGGAAGAATACCAATGATAACAGGCACGGGTTCAGCTGCAGAAACTCCAGTATGGAGGGTCGAGTGCATTTTTTCTATTAGAAGTGTGAAACAGGAAGATGCAGGGACCTACCGATGGACAAAAGCCTCAGCAAATAAGCCCTTGGCTCCAATCTTTACATTGTTTGTGACAGGTTAGTCCATTCACATTGTCTATATTACCCCTATCCACATACTCTGTGAATGACAGCAATGATATACATTCAGCAAAGTACGAGTGCCTTTCACTGTGTTCAGTCACATGTGCATATCTTAGTTCTCAACAAGTTTTTTGACCAGGAAGTGTTCTCTTGCAATGGCTTGTTACCATGCCCGTCAAGATCCAGGTTGGAATTGATCTTCAGCAACCCATGCTTGTCGTAAGAAGCGACTAACGGCGGTCAGGCTCGCTGACTTGGTTGGCATATGTCATCATATCCCACTTGCGTAGATTGATGCTCATGCTGTTGATCACTGGATTGTCTGGTCCAGACTCGATTATTTACTGACCGCCGCCATATAGCAGGAATACTGTTGAGTGCGGCGTTAAACAATAAACCAACCAAGCAAAACATCCAAGATTTGCAATAACTGCAGACACAAGATGTTAAAAAACATGTTCAAAACCAAAATTTCTCAAAATGAATACACACCTGCGAAGGCACAGTGTAGACAGGCTACCACTAACACCGAAAACAACATGCTGCTTATTACGCCATTTTACATTGTGCGGATAACTGAGTAAACGGGGGGAATAAGAATAGTTTCGGATTGTCTGGTACAGACTAGATTATTTACAGACCACCACCATCTGGATGTGATATTACTGCATAATGCGTTAAACAACAAACCAACCAAACCAACTTGTTACCATACGACCTTTCAGATGCCCCAACAACTCCTAGAGTGGTAGCTGGGGGCATTGCTGTTCTCAACAAGCCTCTAACCCTGACGTGTTTGTCGAATTCGTCGACTGTGCCTGACAATCACAATCTCACAATGAACTTCTTCTGGAAGCGGAATGGTATTACCCAAAACAGCAGCAGCACCTCAACATTCAACATTCAGAGTTTTGAGTGGGTGAAAGAACAGAAGTTCAGTTGCAGCTCAATAGAACATGGAGCCGAGTCGGATGAGAGTGACATATTATCAATCACAGCTGAACGTGAGTAAATCTTTGATCTCACAGTATTTTTTAAATGGATCAATGTGTGTATGTATGTATGTATGTATGTATGTATGTATGTATGTATGTATGTATGTATGTATGTATGTATGTATGTATGTACGTACGTACGTACGTACGTTTGTATGTATGTATGTATGTATGTACGTTTGTATGTACGTACGTATGTATGTATGTATGTACGTACGTTTGTATGTATGTATGTATGTATGTATGTATGTATGTATGTATGTATGTATGTATGTATGTATGTATGTATGTATGTATGTATGTATGTATGTATGTATGTATGTATGTATGTATGTATGTATGTATGTATGTATGTATGTATGTATGTATGTATGTATGTATGTATGTATGTATGTATGTATGTATGTATGTATGTATGTATGTATGTATGTATGTATGTATGTATGTATGTATGTATGTATGTATGTATGTATGTATGTATGTATGTATGTATGTATGTATGGCCATGTTTAATTTTTGTGTCTGTGTTTAAAATTGAGTATACATGTGCTTCTTGTGTTACTCATAGCCATTCGTACTTTATAACCGTAAGAGACAGTGAGTTGGCTTCAACATTAAATAAGACAAGTTTAATATGTGAGGAATGGTAAAAGTGGTAAAGATGTTAAAGCTTACCAGTTTGGTTCCTATTATCCTGGAAATTACTGCAGGGCCTCGTTTCACAAAGCTACAGTAGCGCCACGACGGTCGTTCCTCCTATACTGTAACAAAGACTTACAACAGCCGTAGCGCTACGATAGCTTTGTGAAACAGGGCCCAGGACTGAATCTGGAGTTAGAATCCAGGATGCTGGCAGGGCAGAGAGAAGATACTTTGCATAGAAAATTCACTGCCGTGCCAAGAGGAGGTTCGCGCGGACGCTGACGTCTTACATGTTAACTGTCTTTGCGATTGAGGCTTTTGAGGACCAACCAATCCTTGATCCGATAGTTAATTGTTTTCATTCTTTCCTTGCTGAATCCGTGGATGTCTATTCCCATGGTATTGATATATTGTATTTTTGACTAGGGGGGCCAAATGAAATCAGGTTGATCCCAGATGAGACACGCTTCGTGAAAGTCACAGGAGAGTCTGTCAATATAACGTGCAAGAGCAGGATCAGCTGCTATCCTCGCTGTAAAACAACCTGGAGGAATAAGGGAGCTGTTTTTCCCTCAAGAAGGCTGACAATTTTAAATCTTACAAGCAGTGATCAAGGAAACTATACGTGTCATATGGAGAACAAACACGGATACGCGGACAGCCATGTACACATTGCTGTGGAATGTAAGTACTTGAATACAGTGAGTGAGTTTAGTTTTACGCCGCTTTTAGCAATATTCCAGCAATATCACGGCCGGGGACACCAGAAATGGGCTTCGCACATTGTATCCATGTGGGAATCGAACCCGGGTCTTCGGAGTGACGAGCGAGCGCCCCACCGCTCCATTTGAATACAGAATTCATCACCAATGTTTCATTAATTTCTTTTAATATGAGAAATATCAAACGAGTCCCGTTAATCGATTAACCCAGACTAGTTTGATTTCCTGTATTAAATACACGTGTTTTCTATTTCTGTGCAAACCAAAACAAACAACCTGTTAACTTCTTTTTGGCATATTCAAGAGCTGAGACACCCCCACCACCACCCCACCCCAAATCTATCACCGTTTGAATGCCAGTTGTGTGCATCTTACTTGTAATGACAGCAACGAACCCTGTCAAACATTTATGAAAACATATTGTATTCACATCTGACCATCCAGTTCCATAATTTATGGCTATGAGGGGTGATGGGGAGAAGCATGTGCAATGTGAATGGCACCCCTCCCCATGTATTTATATACAAAGTAATGCACAAAATTGTTGACCTCACCCCTAGTACATGAGTACAAAATTGATGCCCCCCACACACACACACACACACACACACATCAACCTCACCAGAACAAAAATTGGCACCCCCACCCATGAAAACATCAACATCCCCGCGCCCACACCCACACCACTAAAATCGGTACCCTCCCATTACCCCTACATGCCACTACCCCTACAGCTTATAACAACATAGTTTATGGTCTGTTGCATAACTAATCTCCTGCCTGTTACCTATTCCATACAGTGGACTGGTCCACTTAAGATGCACAACATGACACAAGACAGATTTTAAAAGTGACTTTAATACATGTGTTATCACAAAGTACCACATCATTGAGATCAATTGTCAAGTTTTTCAGTCTATTTACATTCAGTGTTTTCATATCATCATATAAGGATGAACAAAAGATCACATTATCACAAGTGTTTCATATCAACATATCAGGATGAGAGAAAGACCACATTATTACATTATCACAAGTGTTCAAGTGTCAGTGTTACAGTCTATCCAAGCTTGAGCAGGTAGCCGACGGCGTCAAGAAACTGAAGAGGGGATTTCTGTCCACGCTGAAGCTGTTCCTTGAGTCTGCACAGACGGTTGTCGATCTCTCTGTACACTCGTTTTCTGTTTGTTGGCGCAGCACCAAAGTCAATCTGCACACACTTCCAGTGTACACAGGTCTGTCGCTCAACATTCTTAGTGTGAAGATATCCATCCAACAGAACTTGACGGTTACCTCTCCGTGACATAACAAACTCAACATTGCGAAGACCAGCCATGTTGATGCCATGTTTGTTTCATGTCAGCACTTATATACTGTATGGAACAATCTCAATTTCCTGTATCATCTCCACGTTTTATTTCTCTCAACTTCTCAACATTGTATGTTTCTTCTACTCAGGGTTGAGGTTTGTTTTCATCATGAGACCACTAATTTCCTTGCCACAAAAGACTAATCACATTTATGCATCCCTTGATCTCATCTATGCTCCATGCACTAATCCCTCTTTAGGATTAGTCTATTATATCAGACAGGTAAATGCTAGGTGTTGTTTTAACTAGCTGTAGGGGTACTGGAGTGTAGGGGTAGTGGCATGTAGGGGTTATGGGTGTGAACCCTAAAATCACCAACAGCCCCGCGTTCACACCCACGCCCCAAGCCATAAATTATAAACGGTCCTTAAGTACATTTGTTAATTTGTCTTTCAAGACGGACCGAAAGCTGCAGATATTCAACATGAGGAGAACACGCCAGAAACTAGTCTTGGCTCACCAGTCACCCTAGACTGCAAGGCTGACTGTAGGCCTCCCTGCCAGTTTGCCTGGTCAGTGAAAGCTACCCACAAAGCCTCACGGAATATCTTGCACATACCTAACGTTCAGCGGAACGAGACTGGCAACTACACCTGCAGGGCCTGGAACAAACGTGGAGAAGCAAGGGCAACATTCCAGCTGATCGTCATATGTAAATATAGTAAATTAATAAGTCTTAAAATATAAGTCGAGTGTAAAATTCATTTCAGTATGATTTTACCATATCGCTTTAAAGTATATTATCAAACTAAGCTTAAATGACATATATAGTGGTGACATTTAAGCAAACGTGTTCACAAGTATTCCTCTCTTCAGGAAATATTTTCACATATTTACATGATATTACTGCACGCAAAATACTTTATTCAAGGACACATTTAGAAAAAAATTATAGGTTCATACATGTAGACATGATACAAGGCAGGTTGTATGTCGTTACAGATCCGGCTGAAATATCAGTGACTGCATCCAATACGAAACCTCTAGCGGGTTCGAACATCAGTCTGACGTGCAATGTTGACAGCTTACCGCCGCCCCAAATCACTTGGTTAAGAGGCAATACAACCCTGACTAACCGGGGACCATCTGTCAGTGAGGCCGAGTTTCAAGTCGACGCTTCATCCAACACGCAGATGCATAACTACAGTTTCCGCTATAACATTGGAAATGCCAAATGTCTTGGAAAAGTCACCTATACCTGTGAGGTCTCCAATGGAGTTGGTACCAACAGGTCGAAAAATATTGACATTGACTTTAGATGTGAGTATAGAACATACTATGGGCTGCAATGATATGCTTGGAAAAAGGGGTAATCACATCCCTTGCTTAGGTTTTATAGAAATGTAACACGTTTGTTAGCATTTATATGTTTCAAATATTCTCTCAATGAATCTTACCAGAAAATTGGCGTAATATCTGTTATTGGGATACACACAATTGGAAGACATTCTGAAAAACATGCCTCTGATATGAAGCTTCAAAGTACGGAAATGTAAATAAAACATTTGTCATGTCAGTTTCATCATTTCCGCTCATTCATTCAATTGTGTTCAAATATAAATTATATTACCAGGGAGAGAAATTCATATGTTACGATATCAATGGTAACTGTATTAACAGATACGTTCATACAGGATACTATTTTAAGGACTATCTACAGCACAGATGATTTATGGATATTTGTCATAAGAGGTACACTCGAACCCCATTGTCTCGAACTCGGTTGAGACGAATTCTCGAATGCTCTTAAACGGATGGCAGGAATTAACCTCATGGGTTCTAATGAGAAAGAAAACAAAACAACAAACAATAAAAGACAGAAGAAAACAACACATTCTCCTACGTGTATGCCCAACAACATCTGTTTCAGGTGCTCCATTTGTCGACGAAACTGAAGGAGTCGAGGCGATTTTTTACAGACCCGCCGGTAGATCTGATCAAATACTTTTCAACATAACTGCCAATCCAAAGCCATTGTTCAGATGGTCCCGAGTCCTCCTGAATGGAAGCCTGGAACCCTTGCCCTCAAGAAGTATAAAGGATCTGTCATTTATATCCGGGTCATCTTACCACCTGAAGCTGGTTCACCTGGACGTTCACAAGAAGGACGAGGGAAACTATACCGTGATGATCAATAACTCCCTCGGCAAACACGACATAAACTACAGACTGATCGTTCAAGGTATTGGGTGTTGAGGTGTAGAGTGTGTGAACTGTCATGGTTTGAAATACATATTTACCTTCAAATTTCGTGGAATAGTATGCAAATTTGATTGTATTCCCAGCGTCCTTGAGTATTATAATGAACAGCTTAAAACGATGCCAGGTCGAGTTATTGCGCGTTTATTCATAGGTGAGGTGAAGTCTCTCCACTATATTGGGGGAGAGGGGGCGGGGGATGTTGGTCGTGGTCGAGGGGAAGTACATCATCATGCCTGACAGTGCATGCCTTATATAGTATGTTATAAATGAACCGTTATTGTTTGAGAGCTCATTAACCTTGACCTCGCATAAAGTGAAAGAGAGATAGAGAGAGAGATAGAGAGAGTATTGTCAGCTTGTCCAGTGTAATCTACAAATCTGATATATAAGATCCAGCACCCTTGTCCGTAACCCGGCTAACCAGCTTCTGTGGCAGGGAGATCTAATGTAGTGGTTTTGCTGTACCGTCTGATTGTTCAATATATTTTGCATCAACAAACCTTGTATTTTTGCATATCTTTTTTCTAATCCTCACTGTGTCCATTAGGTTCGACGGTATTAGTTAACCTATCTAACTTAGTATCGCCTCATGTACGACCTGGTATCGATGTGAACAAGGAAGTAAGTGCTTATAAGTGTGTGATGAATCATGACTAGCGATGGTATGGATTTTAATCTGATGTAACAGTTACAACATAACACATTGCCTGAGTTGGGTATCTATATTAAGCTACGTGAGTAACCTTTCCTTCAGACAAGTGTCACTGTGTCCCTGGTCAACCGAAACTAGCTAGGTTTCTATAAACAAAGTCTTTGGAAGCGTCCTGTTTTGAAAGGAAATGGCAAGAGGAATTAAATTAGTTTCGTCTTCGGAAGGACATGGCTGTTCTAAGGGACTGAAATGGTAACAGAAGAGCATTTATAGTAATTCATATATTAATTCGTGTTCGTGTTAAAACGCCCAGCTCTAATCTTGAAATATGTTTTAGCTCTAAATGCAGCAGATAGGTTCGGTTTCTCTTCCAACACCGTCACTAATAGTATTTCCATCAATGTTTAACATACAGTTTTTATGGTGTCCCTGTCTGGTTATAAATATGATAAATATACTATCAAAAAAAGAAACGCATAGGCGTTTTGTTTTTAAAAAAATCTATTTATTACCTATTGTGTTTAAACAATTGTCAAAATATGTACAAAAAAAGTGTTGATGATATGATTTTACACGATTGTACAAGTCAAAAATCGACTTTATCTGAAAATGTTGATTTTGATGAGATTTCTTACAAGGATTAAAAAGGCATCGCCACAACGCAACAGAAATCACCTTCCAGTTGAAGTTGTGCAGCAAAGAGCATGCACTGTCTGGCTATAAAAATCAAGATTACTTTCGGAAATCGACATTCGTTTTGAAGGAGTTTCAAGGTCAAATCACTACGCCACGTCTTGACGCTGCGACACGGAACATCGCCATCGCACTCAGCGTCTCCGTAAACTAAAATTATCCACTTGGTTGTATAGATATTACCTTCTTCTAAACTGATGTAACAAATCATGTACTAAACTCTATTTGTGGACGAGTTATACATGTTTAAAAATACAACATTATCGCAACAGATTTCTGGGTTATGCGTTTCTTTTTGAATAGTATATTTTGTGCCCCAAGGCACCGTCCAAAATTAATGGCTAGGGGGTGATGAGGATTTTTATGGAGATGCATTTTCAATGTGAATGACCCCCCTAAAATTTATGTACAAAGGAAGTACACCTTCCGGGTTAGAATATTAGTCTTCAGTAACCCATGCTTGTTGTAACAGGCGACTAACGGGATCTGGTGGTTAGTCTTGCTGACTTGGTTCACACGTGTCATCGGTTCCCAATTGCGCAGATCGATGCTCATGCTGTTGATCACTGGATTGTCTGGTCCAGACTCGATTATTTACCGACCGCCGCCTTGTAGCTGGAATATTGCTGAGTGCGGCGTAAACCTAAACTCACTCACTCAAAACTTTAATAACTACCTGTGTATTCGCGGGAAACGTAGTTCGTTCGACCAAAATATATCGCAATACAAATACAATTCGTTGTAAACGTTTTTACTAAATTTACTCTAATTGACATTTAACAAAAATACATGTTTGTGTATTAAAACAATATGACATTTTGAGATTCTTTATAAAAATTATATCTGATATATCATTTCAATGTTTCAGCTGGACCAGGTCATAATTTAAGAACAGGTAAGAAATCTTTCGTTCGTTTTTAAAGGATGCTTTGCAAACTGCATTCTCACATTGTTTTACTTGTTTTGCGTGCAATGGGGTAGCCTAGTGGTTAAAGCGTCACGCCGAAGACCCGGTTCGATTCCGTACATGGGTACAATGTGTGAAGCCCATTTCTGGTATCCCCCGCAGTGATATTGCTGGATTATTGCTAAAAGCGGCGCAAATCCATATTCACTCACCCACTCATACTGCATATCCTGGTTCGAATCCCCACATGAGTACAATGTGGTGTCCCACGCCGTGATATTTCCGAAATAGCGACGTAAACCCAAATTCACTCACTTCTTTTACCAATGTGTGTAGATGCTTCTATGTAAGAAATTGAAGAAAGGTCAGTGAACCGGCAGTACAAGCCGTGCTTAAAACTAGGACTGTTATAACTTCAATACTTGTCATAAGTGTTAAGTACATTAGTCAAATCGTAAATATATCTTGCCAATAATGTTTGTTCACAAAGACTAAAAAATTATCTAAATATCCACGTGATTGACGCTAAAATAGCTTGAAATCGATTTTGATTTTTTTTAACTTCAGAAAATAATTAGTTTATAAAATTTTAATTGTGATTTATTTCATGAAGAGTTATATTCCCGTGGCTATATTATTTGTTTTTTCGCATTCTGTAAAGAAGGCCCTACAACATGGCATGAAACAACTAACAAACAAGCAAACAAATTGTCAGTTTCGTTAAATGTGTACTGATTAGAAGGGACAGTCGGGATGTTTCCTCACGGAATCAAGTGAGTCATAGTTTTCAGTTTCTGTGCACATCTGCATCCTACATTGAGGTTGACCGGGTATTGATGTCGGACTTAAAGCAAATATAGCTGTCCTGCCACACAACCGTCGTTCGTTCAGGGAAACCGTGATGCATGTCATTTCAAACTTGATCATCCCGTTTTACTGAGAGAATCTGGGAATCTGGTTATGACTAGTGTGACCCATGACTAGTGTGATTGCAAAGTGTGTGTGTGTGTGTGTGTGTGCGTGCGTGCGTGCGTGCGTGCGCGTGCGTTTTTTGGGGGGTTAGATTTTTCGGGTTAGGCTTTGTGTATGTATGTGTTAGGTTGTTCGTGTATAAGTGTGTGTGTGTCGTTGTGTGCATGTGTTAGTTTTTCCTTATTTCCTTATCTTAGGTTGTACGTGCGTTTGGTTTGTGCATGTGTTGGTTGTGTGTGTTAGGCTGTGTTAGGCTGTAAGTGTTAGTGTATAGGTAGTGTGTGTATGGGTTTCGTGTATATGTAGATGTTAGGCTGTGCGTATGTGTCTTGTGGTTGCACATGTGCTGGGTGTATGTGTGATGTGCTCTTTGTGTAGAGAGTGCTCCGAGAGAGTTGTTAACGTAAGGTTGTGCAGAGAGAGAGAGAGAGAGAGAGAGAGAGAGAGAGAGAGAGAGAGAGAGAGAGAGAGAGAGAGAGAGAGAGAGAGAGAGAGTCTTTATTTCCTTCAGACGATCATCCGAAGATCAAACATATTATATACATGTAGATACAACAAACAGGCAAAGTAACAAAATTGATATAGATGTATATACAATTATATTAATCAAGATGAATACCTAAAGCTACAATTTACATAAGAACATACATGTATATGTGTATACAATTAATTTATACAAAAAACAGTGGACATATATCATTATAAATCTGCAGAGATCAATCAGTGTAACATTGTAGGAGATGTCGTCTTATTCGGTAAATGTATAAAGAAAATCGTAAAATGATTGTTTCCCATGTCCCTTGATCAACAGTATCATTAAAAACAGTTTCACCTCCAAATAGAAAAGAGAGCATGTCGAGTTCATCCTGTGATTCAAAGGCAACATAGGTCTCCACATCAAGATTGTCAATCATAAACACAGAAAAATCGTTTCTCTCAGTGTGAAGTTGTTCACAGTGTAGGAGTATATGAAAATCATAATCATAAGTATATTTGTTGCATAGGTTACATTCTTTAGATATTTTGCCTCGTGATGAGATTTTAATACATATTTGGAGGGCAGATTTATAACTGGGATGCAAGTATGCCAATTGACAGAGGATATGATAGTTTAACTTGGAATGGACCCGTGCATAAAGCGTCATGTTTGTGATTAATTGAGGGTTTGCATAACCCATCTGTGTTCTTCATAGCTATGTACAGATGTATTTACAATTTTCGCCATTCGTACTTTGGAGGAATACCACTCTCTCTGTGTGTGTGTGTGTGTGTGTGTGTGGGGTTGTCCTGTGTGGTCGTGTGGTGTGTGGTCGTGTATGTGTTAGGTTATGTGTGTAAGGTCATGTATGTGTTAGGTTGTGTGTGTAGGTGTAAGGTCATGTATGTGTTAAGTTGTGGTTTGTGTGTAATGTGTCGTGTATGTCTAGTTATGTAATATGTGTTAGGTTATGTGTGTAAGGTCATGTATGTGTTAGGTTGTGTGTGTTGGTGTAAGGTCGTGTATGTGTTAGGTTGTGTGTAGGTGTAAGTCATGTATGTGTTAGGTTGTGTGTGTGTAAGGTGTATATGTGTTAGGTATGTGTGTAGGTCTAAGTCATGTATGTGTTAGGTTGTGTGTGTGGTGTAAGGTCATGTGTATGTTAAGTTGTGTGTGTGTGTAAGGTCATGTATGTGTTAGGTTGTGTAAGGTGGGTGTAAGGTCATGTATGTGTTAGGTGTGTGTGTAGGTGTGTGTGTGTGTGTAATGTGTAGGTCATGTATGTGTTAGGTTGTGTGTGTAGGTGTAAGGTCATGTATGTGTTAGGTTGTGTGTGTAGGTGTAAGGTCATGTATGTGTTAGGTTGTGTTGGTGGGTATAAGGTCATGTATGTGTTAGGTTAGGTTTGCATGTGTGTGTTCTTCATAGCTATGTACAGATGTATTTACATGTTAGGTTGTGCCAGGTCATGTATGTATGTGTAGAGTACTGTGTGTAGGTGTAAGGTCATGTATGTGTTAGGTTGTGTGTGTAGGTGTAAGGTCATGTATGTGTTAGGTTGTGTGTGTAAGGTCATGTATGTGTTAGGTTGTGTGTGTGTGGGTGTAAGGTCATGTATGTGTTAGGTTGTGTGTGTAGGTGTAAGGTCATGTATGTGTTAGGTTGTGTGTGTGTAGGTGTGTAAGGTCATGTATGTGTTAGGTTGTGTGTGTAGGTGTAAGGTCATGTATGTGTTAGGTTTAGGTGTGTTGTGTGTGTAGGTGTAAGGTCATGTATGTGTTAGGTTGTGTGTGTAGGTGTAAGGTCATGTATGTGTTAGGTTGTGTGTGTAGGTGTAAGTGTCATGTGTGTTAGGTTGTGTGTGTTAGAGTGTAAGGTCATGTATGTGTTAAGGTTGTGTGTATGTTAGTGTATGTGTCTGTATGTGTAGGTTGTGTGTATGTGTAAGGTCATGTATGTGTGTGTAGGTGTGTATGTGTTAGGGGGTGTAAGGTCATGTATGTGTTAGGCTGTGTGTGTAGGTGTAAGGTCGTGTATGTGTTGGGTGTGTGTAGGTGTAAGGTCATGTATGTGTTAGGGTGTGTGTAGGTGTAAGGTCGTGTATGTGTTAGGTTGTGTGTGTAGGTGTAAGGTCATGTATGTGTTAGGTTGTGTGTGTGTTAAGGTCAGTGTATGTATGTTGTATCAGGGTGTGTAGGTGTGTGGTTAAAGCGTTGGCTCGTATGGCCAGAGTTCGATTCCCCATGAATCACAATGTGTTAGGCCCATTTCTGGTGTCCCCGCCGTGTTGCTGGAATATTGCTAAAAGCGGCGTAAAACATAAAGGTCAGTCAGTGTCAGTTTGTTCGGATCTGTTTTGTGTACTATACTACTAACATTTGTATGTTCGATTTCCCCTCGACCATTGGTGTCTAACGCAAACGAGCACATCGGTATTATCAATCTCAAGGTTGTGGGACCATAAGTCCAACCACTAAGGTCACCGAGTTAATATGTGTTAGAGTCACAGTAGGTGGACTGGGGCACATAATCAGGTACTTTGTCATGTTTACTGCAGGGTTGTTGTATGTTGATTTTGAAGTGTTAAGGTCATGTCATGTGTTAGGTTGGGCGATGGGGTAGCCTAGTTGTTAAAGCGTTCGCTAGTCATAGTTCGATTCCCCAATTGGTTGTGTGTGTAAGTGTCCCCCGCCATGATATTGCTGTGATTTTGCTGTAAAGCGGCGTAAAACTAAACTAAGGTCACTCAGATTTTATGTGTTAAGTTGTGTAAGTTGTTTTTGCTGTTTGTTTTGTGTTATCTCGGTTTGTGCATTGCTAGGTTTATGCTAGTGTTGGGTTGTTCTTATGCTGGGTTGTGTGTGTTAGATTTTGTGTATCTCGGTTTGTGCATGTGCTAGGGTATGCTAGTGTTGGGTTGTTCTTATGCTGGGTTGTGTGTGTTAGGTTTTGTGTATCTCGGTTTGTGCATGTGCTAGGGTATGCTAGTGTTGGGTTGTTCTTATGCTGGGTTGTGTGTGTTAGGTTTTGTGTATCTCGGTTTGTGAATGTGCTAGGGTATGCTAGTGTTGGGTTGTTCTTATGCTGGGTTGTGTGTGTTAGGTTTTGTGTATGTTTGGTTGAGCAAGTGTTTAGTTGCGCATGTGTAAGCTTTTTCGTTGTCTAGGTAAACCATGTAGTATTGTGATAGTTTGAGACTTTACTCTTTCATATCTACCTAGATCTGGTTGCATTACTTAGAGACATTAAAAGGTTGGTAAGCGAGTTTAGTTCTTAGCAATATTCCAGGAATATTACAGCGGGGCACACCAGAAATGGGCTTCACACTGAAACAAATAGAACTGACTGTACTTCCCATTACTATATTGCGCTAAACTATTATAAATATAAAATTATGAAATACGGGGCTCCAGATAATTTTTCCACATCAGGAGTACGTACTCCTTATTTGTTCAATATAGGAGTACTGGAAAACCTTCAGTGTACATGTAGTGTATTGAATGGAAATTAATGGAGTATCAGTAATCTTGTGTTTCGTTTCATGTATGCACCACAACATTGATTCTTGTGTCAGGTCAATGAACAATAAAACCAGACTTTTTCAGATAAATACGTTTGTAAATGATTCTAAGACCGTACACCATTGCTGTGGTGCGTATTTGCTACGTTTTCTAAATTATTTCCTACCGTATCGTGCATATTTTTTATCCGTACATACGCCGATACGGCCCTTATCTGGAGCCCTGGTAATAGATATAAAGTTATTTCCAGACTGACGAATATATCACTCCAAAAGGAGCTGAGTCATTCAAGACCCAATCAGTCTAGAGTGAGTGAGTGGGTGAGTATGGTTTCAGGTCGCTTTTTAGCAATATTCCAGCAATATCACGGCAGTGGACACCAGAAATGGGCATCACACATTGTGCCCATGTGGGGAATCGAACCCGGGTTTTCGGTGTGACGAGCGAACGCCTTAACCTCTAGGCTACCCCACCGCTCCATTTAAATACAGAATCCATCACCTAAGTTTTGTTGTTTTGTTTTAACATAAGAAATGTCAACTGAGTCCCGTTAATCGATTAACCAAAAAACGGTTAATATTTCCCGTATTAAAAACACTTGTTTTCGTGTTGTGCGAACCAAATAAATAACCTGTTAACTTGTTTTTGGCATATCCATTCGCTGAGAAAAAATCCCAAATATGTCATCATTTGAATGACGGGTGTGCGTATCTATTTCTCATTTGTAATGGCAGCTACGGACCCTGTAAAACATTTATCACAACATGTTGTATTCATATCCGCCCATCTAGTTACATAAGGGAACCGTTCATAATTGATGGCCATGATGATATTATTGGAGAAGCATGTACAATGTGAATGACCCTCATTTGGATCTATATATACAATGACAATTTGTTATCATTTTCGTTTTCATTCTCGTATTTAAAGATCACATATACTCTAGGGGGGTACAAATACATATATCACTAATTTTCATCGCTATAAATGAAACCCCGCCATTAAAACTACTCATTTCGATTTTTAATTAACTTAAATCGACCTTTATGACAACAGTGCACAATTCTCACCCGCGAACGAAATTTCAACCAATCAGAGCGGCGCGTCTCTGTGACGTCATGTGAGGAATAGATATGAGGGCCGATGCAGAATTAATGTACATTTCAGGGGGTAAATTATGTTGTTTTCATTTTCAGTTTTCACAGTAGTCCTCATAGGAATTGGAATGGTGGTTGTGGCGTTTATTCTGATTGGGCTGACGTACTTGTTTACATGTGGTATGTCGCATCACATTTATCACTATTGTTGTTTGTAAACTGTTTTTAGACAAACTTAACGATTTACAAACCACTCAAACGTGAATTCACATTGCTATGAAAGAACATTTTGCATTAAATAATATTTATTTAAATAATATTAATAACGTTAATATTTTCCATCGTAGTTTGTGGTTAAGTTATTATCAATATAGTGGAAGTTTAAATATCGCGGAAACTCTAACACTCTCATGAGTCTTATAAAAAGTATTCTAACATAGAGATGAAACTATTAGCATCAATATGACAATATTTCATGTGCAAAGTATTCATATGTAAATTTATATTGCAGGACCATGTAGAAAGAAGCGACCTGTGAGGGCAACAAAAGCAACGTTTAATGTGACGAAGAACGATACGAATGATACGGAAGAAGGTAAAGTTTTTTAGGTCACCTGAAAAGTGAGTTTAGTTTTACGCCGGTGTTAGCAATATTCCAGCAATAACACAGTGAGGGACACCGAAAATGGGCTGCACCCATTGTACCATTTCGGTAATCGAACCCGGGACTTCGAAGTGACGAGCAAACACTTTAATCACTAGGTTACCCCACCGCCTCGAAAGGTTAAGTGCATTACGAACGTAATTGTCGGCTCAACATACGTACGTCCACAGTGAACATTTACATATTGGTATCGCATCACAAACCTTCTGGACTCTGAAGCTAGAGGTTTTTTAATGATATATTCACGATTTGCATCCAGCGTGAGCGATGCGGAGCACTGCTGTTGTTTTGTTTTTTTATATTTAACACAACTTTAAGGACCTCATACTTTTATACACCGAACTGACTACCATGCCAATGCTGTCCATTATGTTATTGTATCCATTGAATGACCACTTTTATGTATATTTATGTGAGTTATTTGTTTTCACTTATATGACCCTTGTGACCAAGTGCTGCAATTACAAACACATTTCCCTTTCTACCATCATCACCACAAACCAGATAAAAGAACAAACATCTTTGTAAGTTCCATGATCACATCACATCAATGGTGATTCGTGCCTCGCCGTCTTGTTTCACGCATACAAACCGTCAATCAGATTGACCTTCATAGCACTCCTGCAATGCACTTTCTACGTTTGCATCCTAAAACAAAAAGTAATCATATTATCAGTGATTCACTGTAGATATCAGATGCTATTGTAACATCTTTTCCACTTACTCAGGTAGCTATGACAACACTGCAGCACTGTTTAACATTTCAATTTAATTTACATTTTAGAAAGCACCTCAAAAGACCCTTCGTTTTAAATATAATAAATCAATATGTTGAGTTCTGGTCGTCGCACTTGCCGCGCTCTGACGTCGCATTTATAGACATATCTGACAGCGCCCTGTAGACTATGCATTACCTCCCCTTTTATGTGGTGTGTTCCTAAAGAAAAATCAATTTATTACCTACGATGGCGAACATATCGGGGTACAATATTTTCATACGATGTCCTGGGGCAAAATATCACTTTGTCATGGTGACCTGACGTCATGAACAATGCTATGACGTCACGTTTCTTCTATGACGTTGCGTTCTACATGCGGCGACAGCGGGTAGAAAGCCTATGTTTTAAGGTAGATTTTGGTTTATTTTCGTCAATTTAACGACTTTGGAAATAAACAGAATATTATATTCGTGCCCATATCATACTATCATATCATGCTCTCGCTCGGGAAATACCAACATTTAGGCACTCGTGTCGTAAACACAGTATGACATAGGCACCCATATAATATCCTCTATTTCTATCTAATTCACTTAGCACAAACGATAGAACTTTCATTAGTCCAAGTTCAGGTGAGCTTCAGAACATTTTGGCTGCATCAAATAAACAAAAAAAAATAAGTACACGCCTGATGCTTTGTAAAATGCGTCCTTAAAAACAGCGTTATATTTAGAAACGTGTTTTGATTGTGACTCACAAGCCACAAACATTGTGTACGTATTGCAATAACACCACAGATATCGTACCCAAATGGAACATTTCTAGCTAAATATTTACGTTTTTCTAATAGTCTCAAAACACCAGGTGTGTACTTTCTTTTGTACACCAGTATACTTAAGTGTGACTAATAACTAATTTCAGACTTAAAGTTTATTCTGTAAATTTTCACACACATCTGTTTCAGAGCAAGCAGATCTTTGGGCAGCTGTAGCTACGGAACAGAACATGCTGGTCAGCATTCAAGACGCTGAGAAACGTCCACAAGATCCCAGATCTTCCAATATGTTCGTTGAAACGCTCACCTACACTCGGCTATCTGAATCTGAAGCTCAGAGGGAGAGCCTGTCCTGCACCACGTTCACTGACGAAGGACAACGAAGGAGCTTCATGTGCACCGCCTTTAACGACGTCAACCCACGTGGAAGCTTGATTCTGACCGCTTACAACAGCAGACATGGTTATTCTAGATTTCCTGTTACAGACCAACAGACCACCTTCCCCTACCCTCCTCTGACGAACGAGGACATCCAGGATGACTGTTTCCCGTATCCCCCTGTGGAATATGAAGGGGCGGAGAACCCTCCCTTTGGTTAACGAGGAGGTGGAGTATGAGGGCTTTGCGTACCCACCCCTGACGTATGGGGGTGAAGACAATGGGGAGCAGACCCCGTACGTCAGTGACGCTACCCTACCCGGAAGATGCCACAATGTCCCTGCCCTAGTGGAATGTGGAAACTATGACTCTTTCTCTTCGGAAGAACATGGAAGCAACGTTTACATGAACATGTGATCTCGGCGCTCATTCGTAACTACTCGCCTCTTTCCGTGACTTACAAGAAGAACTCGTACCCCTATCGTACACCATTATTGCCAAGAATCGTGGCAAACCAATCAAATCGCGCGTAGTAAAACGCATTTCGAAGCATGAAAATGGCGGCATCGTTGAACTTTGAAACTTCGCTAAACTATGCAAAGCACAATTTAAACATAAACGTTGAGCTAAAGGATCAGAAACTTTCAACACTGAAACATATTTATAAAGGGAATGACCGTATTGCTGTTTTGCCCACGGGATATAGGATATTGATAATTCTATGAGCCATGTTGTGGAAATTCAGAGTTATTTTCCTTTGTAGTAGTTCTAGACTATTTTCATCTCCATGCCCGTTTGCGCTTAGACAGGGCCCAGTCGTAAACATTGCTACGAGAGGGGTACGAGACGCCATCCGGCTTGCCGGAATGACACAAGTACGTAGTAGCCAAGCGTTACGTCCCTTACCTGCTAGGACAATCTCACCAACTTGACATACGACCACGGACTTATCCTGTCTTTCCTATTTTAAGTTTTCAAGCTGACAGCTGATAAAATTAATGAGTGTTTAAAGCAGGAACAAATTTGTTAGCTACATAAGGGGCGGTTGGGCAGCCTGGTAGTAAGTGCGTTCGCTCGTCAAGCCGAAGACATGGATTCGATTCCCCACATTGGTGGAATGTGCGAAGCCCATTTCTGGTGTCCCCTGTCTTACTGATGCAATATTGCTTAAAGTGGAATAAAATTATGCTCACTCACTCACTCACATGACATAAGATGTCTCGTCTGAAAGGAGTGACCCGTGAAGATCCGGGTTAGAATTGTTCTTCCGCAGCCCATGTTTGTCGCCGACTCGGTTGACATATGTCATCGTATCCCAAATGCGTCGATCGATGCTCACGCTGTTGATCACTGGATAGTCTGGTCCAGACTCGATTATTTACAGACCGCCACCATATAGCTGGAATATTGCTGAGTGCGGCGCAAAACTAAACTCACTCACTCACTCTGAAAGGAGTGATTCTTGTAGGCTTAACGCCGCTTTTAACATTTTCCAGTTTATAACGACATGTCAGCTTAAAATAGAGCCCAACACATTGAGGATATCCGGCAAATAGATATTGTATTTGACTAAACCTATATTTTCCCCAGTGATTTGAGGAACGAAATATTGATCTCTCGCAGTTTGTAGAGCAGAGCAAATAAATCGTTTGTAACGTAAAATTCGTATCCGAACGTTTAAAAGATGTTATGAGCAGAGTTTGAACGTGAGATTACAAGTAAATGTTGAAAAGAAGTTGCATAAATACGTTTAAGTCCAGTATGAATGTTCATTACCATTACCGTCATTATTGCCCTTTATTATTGCAAGTGTACATTCGTAATTAGCATCTTAACGGCTTGCCGAAAGAGACCCGTGAAGATCCGGGGTAGAATAGGTCTTCAGCAACCCGTGCTTGCCACAAAAGGCGACTATGTTTGTCGTAAAAGGCGACTAACGGGATCGGGTGGACAGGCTCGCTGACTTGGTTGACACATGTCATCGGTTCCCAATTGCGCAGATCGATGCTCATGCTGTTGATCACTGGATTGTCTGGTCCAGATTCGATTATTTACAGACCGCCGCCATATAGCTGGAATATTGCTGAGCGCGGCGTAAAACTAAACTCACTCACTCACTCACTTGCCGAAAGACAGGAGTGAGCGAGTGAGTTTAGTTTTACGCCGCTTTTTTAGCAATACTCCAGCAATATTACGGCGGGGGACACCAGAAATGGGTTTCACTCATTGTACCCATGTGGGGAATCGAACCTGATACTTCAGCGTGAGAGAACGCCTTAACCATTAGGCTACCCCCACCGCCCTCTGACAGACACGACTGACCTCGAATGTCACCGGTTGGGACAGCTAAAATTGTATATAAAAATGCTCTGTATTGATGTTCAATAAAAATAACCGGGGGTGGGGGTGGGGGTGTGACAGGCAAAATATGATAGTATGATATTGTTTCTGTGTACATGTATATTGTTTATGTTCATAATTGTATTCATAATAACGATTACTAGATGTATGGTTCCACAGTTTCTTGTATCTTTTCATGTACATATGTTGATCATCACACGCTTACATATTTGTGAAAAGAGGTTTGTGTTTTATAGCTTTCAATCATCGATTTTTGCACATATAGTTCATTTGGTAAGGAAGGTTGGGAGGTCAAGTGACTAAAATGTTGGCTTGTCACTCGGAAGACTAAGTTCGATTCCTAACGTTGGTAGAACGTGTGAAGCCTATTTGCCGTGTCCCGCTGTCGTGATATAGTTAAAACCAACCTGTACACTTGTTAGTGTGAGTGAGTGAGTATGGTTTTACGCCGCTTTTGGCAATATTCCAGCAATATCACGACGGGGGACACCAAATATGGGCTTCACACATTGTACCCATGTAGGGAATCGAACCCGGTTCTTCGGCGTGACGAGCGAACGCTTCAACCACTATGTTACCCAAACGCCGTTTTGTTAATGTAAATGATGTTTTTATAATATTTGTTTCATTTTAACAACATAAATTGTTAAAAAAAATGCACAGACATTGTTAATGTGTTTTTGGTGCTTATTTGCCCAATCAGTATTTTAAAATAAACACTTTCGTTTACTTTGGTCTCGGTTTTCATGTATTTCCTTTAACCTTTAACTCTTCCCGAGTCATATTATCCTAACGAAGGAGCGTTATCAAATCTCCTGAGGTGCAGAATATTTGCTCTTTCTGTTTTGATTGCCGTAATGCCCCAGTGATGTAAAAAAAGGTAATTAAAAGTGAAATCGGTGACTAATCGTTATAAGCAATCCTATATGTGTCACGGTGTGGAGCTTCCGTTTGAAAAGTGCGCCACTGTGAAAGTGCACTGTAGAATTTACAGCGATATTTCCCTTAAAGGTCACATAAACCCTAGGGGGTAAAAATACATAAATCACTAACTGGCATCGTTATAAATGCAACCCCCTCATTAAAACTACTCATTTCGACCTTTAATTGACTTAAATCGACCTTTTTGACAACAGTGCACAATTCTCACCTGCGAACGACATTTCAACCAATCAGAGCGGCGCGACTCTGTGACGTCATATGAGGAATAGCTTTGAGGGCCGATGCAGAATTCATCTACATTTTAGGGGGTAAATTATCTTGTTTACAGGCTTGTATAAACCTGAAATCGTGACAATTGTTGTGGAAAATGAAAGCTATATGTTCTCACAATCTACTGTCATTTAATTTTGTCTCCTGCTTTGCCTAGTTTCCGAGTTACAACTTGTTTTCATAGACGCTTCTGTCACAATTGATTGGTGTCGTTAGGCCCTATTTGTATAATGACTGATCCAAATTGATCCCATTTCTGTGTTTTTACCTCGATATTTAATCATGTCATGTAAAAATCTGTTTGTATTCTCAAAACAGTGTCGGCCCATAAGTTTTCACATGCAATACAGCAATTAATACTCCCTTGTTGTAACCCGTGTTAGGTGGTATAAACCTACACATGTTATTTGTCATCATTCACTTGATGGTCAGTTAATGAATTTATAACAGGTATAATTAGTGGTAACACACTTAGATTACCCGACAAAGGTTCCCATTTGGCATTTCTTGTGTCTGGAGTAAATATTCAACATTATGAACATCGATCAAAGGATTAACCGATAACACGCTGATTGATTAATTACTTTTATCTTACACAGCGGAATTGTCAAAAGGTAGTGTTTATGTATGTAGATTTACTAATCTATACTGAATACACTCTGCCGTGTCGGTGTCTGCGTAAAAACAACGTCCTTCTTTCAAAGGATTAACCGGCAATACATTGATTGATTGCCCATTATTGGCTAACTAAATTACTGTTTTAATGAAAGGCGGACATTATGCAATTAGTTGCCAGGTGTGCTATCTTGGGTGACCAATGAGACTATACACCAATACCTGAAAAGATTTATCACTTTTTCGTATATTAAACTGTTAAAAGACACATCATTTGGAACAGTTTTGTGGATATTGATGGATACATTCCTCAAACAAGGTAATGGCCTGATATTGTTCCTATAACTTTAATCTGTTTTAATTTTAATATTTGCATTTTGTTTTTTAATCATTTGTCGTAGCATTCAACAGAATCATTGTTTTCGCCGTGAAGTGTAATGAGACAGACAACATACACTAGGGTGTGTGTGCGAATTATGATTCACATTGGCAAACTATAAAATGTCTAGATATTACATGTTCTGTTATAAATTCACTATAAGTATCAGCAGATCGTCAGCTTTTTATTTAGTTTCAAAATGCATAAAAGTATGATAATAAACTAATTAGGATTATAAGACCAAATATAAAGACGCACATTGACTAGTATCTACATACTGGTGAGTGGACATTAACCATGTGAATGTAGCAAGAAATTTATCGCGCAGTATTGTGACTTCGACCCCCACCTCGCTTCCGTGAAAGAAATCGTTATGTTATAAGTTGTGTCATGCAAAACCCTTTTGGTTATGATTCCAATACATATTTAACTACGAGTAGAAAGTAGTTTTGATTTTCTAACTTGATGAAAACAAACTATAATCTCATTAATTCTAACAGACTTTACGATTTTCAAAAATGGCGGCGCCCTGTCGGGAACATCCGCCAGTCTGTGGATAAATGCTATTTAGGTTTGTTTTCACCGAGTTACAAAATCAAAACTACTTTCTACTGGTAGTAAAATATGTATTTTATTGATGGCCAATAGGATTTTGCATGACATAGCGTATAACATAACAATTTCTCTCCTGGCAGCGAGGTGGGTGTCAATATAATACTACTTACAATATTATTGTTACTTCGACCACAACCTCACTTCCGAGGAAGAAATCGTTATGTTACAACTTGTTTGAGTGGCATTTTAGAAGTTGAGACGTACAATATAGAACAAGTTTTATGGATAACAACTTCTTTATTTCGTGAGTGCGACGTTTCGATACAGATTCTTGTACCGTTGTCAAGCAAGAGTGACAACGGTACAAGAATCTGTATCGAAACGTCGCACTCACGAAATAAAGAAGTTGTTATCCATAAAACTTGTTCTATATTGTTATGTTACAAGTTGTGTTATGGAAAATCTTTATGGTCATCAATCATATACATATTTTACTATAACTAGTAAGTAGTTTTGATTCTTTAACTTCCGTGAAGCGATCTGAACACAAGTAAGATATCGTTTCAGGCTTCCACAACGCTCGCTTCGCACTCACAAACATAACCCATTTAGCACGAACTGCGGGATCCTGTGGAAATCTGTGCATGGTGACACCATCACCCGACCCCTAGGAGCAATTGACGACAAAGCAACGATTCGGCATGTCGTCGTTCATGTCGAGAAATCATCAAAATGATGAGCGTGCTACACACTTTCTATACAACTAACTGAAAATCGTTCCTCATATGACGTCACTGCAGTGCTCTGGCGACAGAGTTAAGTAACCTGTCTGTGGTTTCGTTGGCGGGCGAGAGGGAAGCAGGCGACTTTTTGGCCACTTTTAATCGCTCGGTATTAATTAACCACAAGTTTTTAAAGAATAAATTTGGTGTTCCGCATAAGACTAACCACAAATCTTTCATATGTAATGGTTAAAAGAGTAACAAAAACAAAGTTTAGTGGTTCTTTAATGTTTTATTTGTTACAATCCTATACCATCCAAAAAAGTAGGTGATATTGGATTTACAAGATTGATAAAATGCAAATGATGAAGCCAAGGAGGAAAGATGATGAAGAGAAATTAAGGGAAAATGTGACAATTTATTTCATTCCTTTGGAAATGTTTCATCTGTATGGATATATATTACCTTTTTTAATATGCATTGGCATTGGCTAGTGGTATGCTCGCACAATGGAATACCCCCTACTTGTTTTTAATGGTACATATTTCTATATGTTATCATTCAAGATGGGTTTGTTTTGCGCCTACTAAACTTGCACTTCATGAGTGCTGATACGTCTGTTACGTAGTTGTGTGAGACATCTTTATTGAATGTTAAGTAATCAAAATACTTCCTTGAACGTCTAATAGTATTTCAGCACAGTCGGAATAATTTTCACTCGTTCCAGCATCCTAGGAATTGTGAAGAATTTTAAGAATTATATTTTATAGCGAATAATGAACAGGATTAGGCACAAGTGACGCACGCGAGGTGCTTTCCCACATACATCTACAATGTACGTTGTTATGGATGTGGAACTTTCACCGTTGTTGTTCTTCATCATCCTCAAATGAATAAAAAACATGAACCTCCATCCCTTGATGTGCTGTTGACGTCACGGTGACCATGGCTGTTACAACCACTGTTATCGTTACATGCTGCTCCATCAACAACTACATCACCTGCTGCATGGTGTAAGTTCTAAAGTGCGACAATTATTCCATGACACATCTCAGCCACTACTACTACTACTACTGCTGCTACTACTACTACTACTACTACTACTACACTACTACTACTACTACTAGTTCTACTACTACTAGTTCTACTACTACTACTACTACTACTACTACAGACGATCCGGCTTAGAATTAGCCTTCAGCAAACCATGCTAGTCGTAAGAGGCGACTGACGGGATTGGGTGGTCAGGCTTAACTGACACATGTCATCGTATCCATCCATCGTATGTCATCGTGACACATGTCATGTGTATATGCTCATGATGTTCATCACTGGATTATCTTGTCTAGACCTCCTCCATATAGCTGGAATATTGCTGAGTGAGGCGTTAAACGACAAAAAACGACTACTACTACTACTACTACTACTACTACTACTACTACTACTACTACTACTACTTCTTCTTCTTCTACTACTACCACTACTACTACTATTTCGGGGCGGTAGCCTAGTGGTTAAAGCATTTGCTCGTCACTCCAAAGACCCGGGTTCGATTCCCCACATGGGTACAATGCGTGAAGCACATGTCCCCCTCAGTGCTCGTGATGGAATATTGCTAAAAACGGCGTAAAACCAATTCACTCACTCACAACTACTCTTTCTTAAACATTGTTCGCGAAAACATTTGGATATATGTGTTTGTAAAATACAAAATTACAAATAAGAAATACGTTCAGTGGACATGAATATACTGGAATTCTTGACGTCTTAGTTCCCTGAAAATGCGACCGAAATATATGTGAACGTTGATTCGATTCGACGGCACAGCCTCTATGAACCTATTGACGATTTTGACCTGCTTATCTTTGGATTTGCGAGTAGCCTCCCTTGTGTTGACCAGCAATAACAGAGAGGAAGAGGTAAATCAAAGTCCTGAAACAAAAGCAGGTATGACAAGCGGTAAAACGTGTATTGAAGCGTGACATTTGAAATGACATGTGACTTTAGTTTACTAGACAGTAGGGAAACAGAACGGGGAAAGTCAGATGTACGACACATTAATTGTATTCATTTATCGAAGCTTCACGATGACCTACTTTCAGACGCGAAGGCTCAGCCTCAGGTTCAAGCCAGTAAACACACGGCTATGTCAAAACAGATAATGAAGCTGCTCAAGGGCAAATATTCACATGACACTCACTGTAAATATTTCCTTATGGATATTAGGCAAAGGATTCATCTGTAAGGCGCCAGTTAGTATTCATTTCTGATGTTATTACATCAGTCATTCAATTATTGATATAACAAAATGAATTATTGATGTCAAAATTGCGATAGTTTAAGTCTCTGCTTAAAGCCGAGTCGACTGTACGATTTCGACTTAGCGAAGACACCATGGGTTCGCGAAAGGATGAGTTTTCCCTTAGTACATGGCCAGGGTATGATGGTCGGTACTAACTCTACCCGGGGGACTACCTCTCATTATGTTCTTTTTAATGTAGTTTATCCTTATGGAAACAGATTCTGGCAAGACAGACCTCTCATAAATTCCGCGTATTACTGTAGTGCACCTTTGAGCACATGTACATGCACCTAAAAATACATCCTGTCCCAATGGTAAAACTCGTCACAAACACATGCAGAGGCAAGTCAATTGTTCGCATGAAATATAAGGTAATGGTCAAAACGAATTGATTTTTTATTACTGATTTGGAAATTTCCATGGGATTGTTGTCGAGGCTGTTAGAAGGGAGGGTTGTTATGGAATGTTAAACGAATTAAGCTTCAATGGATGCAAGCAAATTAAACTATGCAGATATTCATAACTTTCCAAACCAGTAGTCTGCGTAGAAGGAACTTACTGTATATAGATATTAGATGATATCCAGATGAACATATGTATTCTGTATGCACAGATTAAACCTGTTATTATCTTAACATTGCTTACCCATGGCTTGGAGAATACTCATGGAATAAACCCGATTTATGCTACCCTTTAGAGACAAAGATGAACCCAGACGAATATGGTGCCAGACTGTTTGGTTTCATGGGTGCTGGGAGTGCAGCATTGTGCATCGCAATGGCAAAGGATACTGGTATTCTTGAAGCGCTCTTGGAAGCAGAAGTGCCAATGACGTCACAGGAAATTGCCGAGAAGAAAGGTTTAAAAGAAAGGTGATTATTAAAATATCGCAGGCTACATATACATTGTTTCGTCTTGGATACACATGAAGTTTGTACATGTAGATCTATCTGAAATTCGGATTGAGATCAGGGGTTTCCACATGTTAACTTTTGGCCAGCAGTTGCCGAGTATATCTCAACAGGCTGAAATATTCACCTATTGCTAAATTGTGGTTTCATTTTGTGATGAGGTGAAACGTGACTGATCATTTCTCCATTGGTGTCAAAGGTACTGCTTTGTTTCATCTATGAACTCGGCTACATCGGCATTGCCTTTTGTCTCCTCCTCTTTCTGTCCTCCTCCTGCCCCTCCCCCTCCATCTCACCTTTTGCTGTCGGCTTCTCTTCCTCGTCCCTGGTTCTCCTCTTCCTCTTCGCCCTGTTACCTCCTCCCCCCTCCTCCCATCTGCTCCTCCTCCTGCTTCTCTTCCTGTCGGATCCTCCTCTTCCTCTTCGCCCTGTTACCTCCTCCCCCCTCCTCCCATCTGCTCCTCCTCCTGTCGGATCCTCCTCTCCTCTTCTCCCTGCCTCCTCCCCCTCCTCCCTCTGCTCCTCCTCCTGCTTCTCTTCCTGTCGGATCCTCCTCTTCCTCTTCTCTGCCCTGTCCCCTCCCCATCCTCCTCTCCTGCTTCCTTCCTGCGGATCCTCCCTTCCTGCTTCTCTCCCCCCTCCTCCCATCTGCTCCTCCTCCTGCTTCCTTCTGTCGGATCCTCCTCCCTCGTCGCCCTGTTACCTCCTCCCCCCTCCTCCCATCTGCTCCTCCTCCTGCTTCTCTTCCTGTCGGATCCTCCTCTTCCTCTTCGCCCTGTTACCTCCTCCCCCCTCCTCCTGCTTCTCTTCCTGTCGGATCCTCCTCTTCCTCGTCGCCTCTGCTTCTCCTCCTCCCTCATTCTGTCTCTTCTCCTATTTTTGCTCCTCCTCCCCGGTTCCTTCTCTTTTTCTTCGGGGCGGTGGGGTAGCCTAATGGTTAAAGCGTTGGCTCGTCATGCCGAAGACCCGGGTTCGAATCCCCACATAGGCACAATGTGTGAAGCCCATTTCTCGTGTCCCCCGCCGTGATGTTGCTGGAATATTGCTAAAAGCGGCGTAAAACCAAACTCAGTCAGTCAGTCAGTCTCTTCTTCTTCCTCCTTCTGGCTACTCATTATCACCATCACCATCACCATCATCATCAACCTTACCTATCCTCATCCGTCCTATCATCCGTCAGATACGTCCGTGAGGTGCTGGGTGCCCTTGCAACGTCTGGGGTGATTCAGGTGAACGAGGACAGTTCTCACTACCACGTACCGAGCTGTCACAAGGGAGTCCTCAGGTCGACATCCGCCTATAGTAGGATGATCCCACTCTTTGGCCAGAGATACCCGGCTGTCAAGGAATGCTTCAAGCTTGATGGACCTCCAGGTAGGATCCTCGAGAGAGGCGGCCAGCTCTGGGTGTAATATGTGATACCATTATCAGACGAATCAGCAGGCACCAGAGTGACCAACATTACAGCTCTTGTGTGCAGAGATTGGGCAATCAAGTAATTAATTCGTTCTGTCATGATGTTATAGACTCGATTCAATTCCCCACATGGGTACAATGTGTGAATCCCATTTCTAGTGTTTCCCGACCCGATTTAATTTGGATAATGCTAAAATTGCCGCAAAACGAAAAGCATTCACTTACTCAACTGCCTCGTGTTTGTCCTAACACCTGGTTGAAATGGAGATGTGAGGTTCAGGAGTGAGTGATTGAGTGAGTGTGCAAGTGATTGAGTGAGTGAGAGTGAGTGAGTTCAGTTTTACGCCGCTTTTAGCAATATTCCGCTGCTCTGAGCAATAACATCACAGCAGGGGACGGCAGAAATGGGCTTCACGCATTGTGTAGAATCGAATCGGGTCTTCGGCGTGACGGTCAGGTCATGTTTCCGTCTAGTCATCGGAATCGGGTGGTCAGGCTCGCTGACTTGGTTGACACATGTTATCGTATCCCAAATGCGAAAATCACTGGGGATTGGCTGGTCCAGACTCGATTATTTACAGACCACCGCCATATAGCTAGAATATTGCTGAGTGCGGCGTAAAACTACATTCACTTCACTGCCTATTGTTACAATAAGGCCGTGAGGTAGCCTAGTGGTTAAAGCGTTCGCTCGTCACGCCGAAGACCTGGTTCGATTCCCACATGGGCACAATGTGTGAAGCCCATTTCTGGTGTCCCCGCCCTGATATTGGTGGAATATTGCTAAAAGCAGTGTAAAACGAAAGTCACTCACTCACTCAATAAGGTTGTGGGGCTAATTTTCAGGAGTTGCTTTCGGGGCTCTACCAGAGGTGTTTGATATTATGGAAGACTACCGCTCCGCCAATCAGGATATGTTCATCGAAAACAACATCTTGTCAGCAGTGCCTGGGTTGAAAGAGAAACTTGGTATGTGATTACTTTTATCGGTGATGAACACTGTTAAAATTTATCTTCAGTAACCCATGCTTGTCATAAGAGGCGAGTAACAGGGTCAAGTGGTCGGGCTGACAGACTTAGTTGACACATGTCATCGTATCCCAGTTTCGTAGATCGATGTTCATGATGTCAATCCCTGGATTGTCTAGCCCTGACTCGCTTATTTAGTGACCGCCTGGAACATTGCTGGGAGGGATTAAACAAACAAACAAACAAGCTTACACCTACTACTCCTATCGGCTCTCGTTACCTAACAAAAATCCTATTTAAGAGATAAAACTTCAAATCAAGCAATACAAGAATTCTTTATTGCGAAGCGTTTACATGGCGACAAAGTCTTTCTTTCTGATTTGATTTACTGTACATTATGTTTTCTACCATAGTCTGTTTGCATTGAAAACGTACCGATGAATTTTACTTTAAACAAAAAAGTAAATCAAGTTAAGTGACATTAAGATTGCGAATCCTCATAATTTTACCTTGACAAATGAACATCTAAATCTCAGAATTTTATTCAACTTAGGATAAAAGTTGTTTAACAAACGATCATAAATTCAAATCGCTATTATTGGTTTGTATTACAAGGGGGTGAGCGCAGTAGATGGAACAGTGAAACAAATGCACGTGCGGTACGTGATGAGCGTTAACTTAAACCCCGTATTTGTTCTCGGTGTTTCATTTAAAGTGCATACCCCTTCACTTTATTCGATTTACTTTTTTGTTTAGAGTGAAATTCATCGGTACGTTTTCACTGCAAACAGACTCTACTCTTTTTACTGGGGTGTTTGAGACCATTCCAAAGTATGAACGTTTTGATGTGTTTCCGTCCCACTTATTTTTCTAGAAAACCGTCTCCCTCTCGTTAGTGCAATAAACCCTCCAATAAATGTCATGCATTTTAGAGGTTCAATAACAATATAACTGAACCACTAACTACATACCGGGAGAACCTGTAGACCAAATTTAACATGTTATGGACAACTGGTTTTACCAAAATAGAAATACATGTCTTTCCTAATTGTATTCAGTTACACGTATGTCCAGTATGCGATTACCCAGAAGTTCCATTGTCCGTTTGAAGACTATTTCTGGCGGACGTTTTCTTTCCATTATCCGTCTTTATCAGATGTACTGGCAAACAAAGATAAGTTGAGCACCAACAATTGACCCGTATTAGCATGTATGAGTGCTGCCCACTGGCGCTTGCCATTGTTAGCGAAGGGGCCCAGGTTGTCCGCGATTAAGTGTAGTGCGACTTGCTACACCGACGTGAGAGTCTTATGAGCAAGGCGTGTGCAGCTTCGCCTTGCTCATTGCCGTGCACCGCCTACTTCTCGTAAAAGCGTTTTCTGCGCCGGTCCAACTTATCCTTGTTTGCCAGTAGATCACTCTTAAACTCATACGCTCTTTTATATAACTTTTCTAAAGTCGATGATAAATACAGTGACGAAGATGCCTGCATGTGTGATGAAAATCTCGTGGATGTCTAAATTCACATTGTTTTCGGGGTGGGTTTTTTCATATTTGTCCTTATAATTTACATATTACTTTGCAGAGACAGGTATCACAGTTGCTGAGTTTGGTAGCGCAAATGGTACGCTCCTTACTAATATGGCGGCACGATTCCCTAAATCTTCTTTCACCGGAAGTGACGTGGTTGAGAATGTTGTGGAAGCAGCCAACGCAGCTGCGTCCAATAGGAATTTAAAGAACGTCTGTTTCAAAACGTATGACCTCTTCAATTTACCTAGCGAACTAAACAATTCATTTGACTGGATCTTCATCAGTGATGTGGCGCATGATCTAGCTTACTTAGACAAAGCTCTTTCAGGAATCCGTCGAGCAGTCAAGTCCGGCGGAATCTTTAGTATGCTAGATTTATGCATGAATGGAAAGGTGGCTGAGAATGTCGGCAACATGGGAGCGTGTTTCCTATTCACTGGATCTACGATGTTATGCCTAGCAGCAAGTAGCCTACACGAAAATTCGGATCAAATTGGACCCTCTTGGACGGTGGAGAAGGCATGTGATTATCTCATTAGGGCCGGCTTCACTATATTAAACGTGCATCACGCTGCAAAAGACAAGCACATGACCCACTTTGTCTGTGAGTAGAGTGACTTTCGTTTTACGCCGCACTCCGCAATATTCCAGCTATAAGGCGGCGGTCTGTAAATACTCGGGTCTGGACCAGACAATCCAGTGATCAACAGCATGAGCATCGATCTACGCAATTGGGATACGATGACATGTGACTCTGTGAGTGGAGATGTTCATCACTCAGAGAGATTCTTTAGATAAAACATTGGTTATCAAACTGCACTTATGTATTCAAGATTTCTTTTCCGAAAATTGAATTAAAATTTAAAAGCATACGTTGCCATTCGAACAATGTTAATACAATGTATCAAATGTTGCTATGTCTTGTATATGCATTATCGTAGAAACAGAAGACCATAACTATATTTATTGTCTTGTTTTGCGTATTGCATTGAATAATAAAGGATTGGAAACGTCCAAATGTGCGACGCAGGTCATAAAGTAGGTGTGGGCGTTCCAGCTCAAGAGGAACAGTACTAACGGGAGAAGTAGCTGTGTGTTTGTGCTAACGGGAGAGGTAGATGTATGTGCGTGCTTACGGGAGAGGTAGGTGTGTGTGTGCGTGCTAAGGGAAGAGCGTGCTGGTGAAAGGTTGGTTTATTCGTGTGCTACTGGACGAGGTTGGTGTAGGCCTGCTGGCGGATGAGGCAGGTGTCTTGGCTTGTTAAGGGAAGTGGGCGTGCTGGCGTAAGAGGTAGGTGTGTGGGCGTGCTATCGTAAGAGGAAGGTGTGTGGACGTGCTAGCGGGAGGTAGGTGTCTTGGCTTGTTATAGGAAGAGGTAGGTGTGTGGGCGTGCTAGCGGAAGAGGCAGGTGTCTTGGCTTGTTAAGGGAAGAGGTAGATGTGTGGGCGTGCTAGCGGAAGAGGCAGGTGTCTTGGCTTGTTAAAGGAAGAGGCAGTTGTGTGGGCGTGCTAGCGTAAGAGGTAGGTGTGTGGGCGTGCTAGCGGAAGAAGTAGGTGTGTGGGCGTGCTAGCGGAAGAGGCAGTTGTGTGGGCGTGCTAGCGGAAGAGGCTGTTGTGTGGGCGTGCTAGCGTAAGAGGTAGGTGTGTGTGTGCGTGGTAGCGGAAGAGGTAGGTGTGTGTGCGTGGTAGCGGAAGAGGTAGGTGTGTGGGCGTGGTAGCGTAAGAGGCAGGTGTGTGGGCGTGGTAGCGGAAGAGGTGGGCGTGGTAGCGGAAGAGGCAGGTGTGTGAGCGTGGTAGCGGAAGAGGCAGGTGTGTGAGCGTGCTAGCGGAAGAGGCAGGTGTGTGAGCGTGCTAGCGGAAGAGAAACGGGTTCGCAACAGAGAGAAAAATGACCAGTCTACCTATATGCCAGCGAAGCGAACAAATGTTGGCAACGTTCTTCCCTCGCTTCGGTTTGAAAAATACTTTCTAATATCAAAATAAAATAGCGCCACCATCAAAGATAAACGCGATAGACACCCATTTCCTCACAGCCTCCATTACCCCTGCCAGTTTCCGGTTAAACCGAATGAAGGAACAAGAATAGGCAGAAATTAAAAGAAATATCATATTGCTTAACTTTAACATTAAAGATTATTTATCTTATCAACCGTCGGTATTGGTGAATGAAAGCAAGGGAGGTAACTCCACAAGTAGTTATTTGTCATCTGCGAACTTTCCGTTTGGCGGACATGTAATTCAACAATTATATTTAGAGTTAACTCCCCTGTTCCTTCAATCCGTTGAACCGGAAGCTGGCAGGGGTAATGTAGGCGGAGAACGATTTGATGTGCCAGAGTTGCGCTTAAAATGTTGAATGAAATATATTTTACGTGAGTAATTATTAAATATGAGCTTGGAAATCTGAGTGCACAAACCTGTGAGGAAATGGGTGTCCACCTTTGATGGTGGCGATATTATATTTTGACATTAAAATATAGGGAAACTGGTATTTTTTTCATTTGATGTGCGCCTACTACTTCCCCTATAAAAATTAGTCCTTTAATAAACGCTGAAAATCAGGAAGGATCTGGGCGGACACGAAATTACAGAGGAAGAAATAAAATATTAACACACAGACAAACGGCTAAAACAACAGTAAGCACGCCACAGCTTTGCTCTGTTCCACAATCTGAAGTGTGTGATCTTTCTTTGTACGTGCCCGCGTCGTCCAGCAGAAGCTTCAGATCTTCAAGAGTGGATAGGCATACCAAAATATCTGAACTTTTGGTTGGAGTAAAGTCTTCTCTGGCGATGAGTGTATTACTGTTCTTCAGAAGTACACTAGCGTTAGCCATCAGTGTATAATCATATTGATGGTACAAAATCTGGGGACAGTTACGCTTGACATTATTGCTTGAAAAGGCTTCAAATGCGTCTTCTTCAATAGTAACAGGCTCGTATATATACGCCGATAGTGTATGATGTCTTTGATAAACTGGCAACATGTGTTTATACTCAGCCCGGAACGAAACATTCAACCCATCGAAATGAAGACGCACTTCTCCAAAGAGCAAGTATGAAACGCGTTCAGCAAATGTTGCAAAAGAATGTTCTGTGGACAGTCTCGTAGAAACATATATCCGTATCTCCATGCCAGAGATATCAGCAGTGCTGATACCTGTAATGCTGTCGCAGCAATCATTCCCAACATGCGATGACTTCTTGGTGTAAGGTTTAGCGACCACTTTCTTTATTATTGTTGTCTTCATGTCCGTTTGTGAGGTGTAATATTCTGTCAATACACGCATCAGCTGGGTCAAGTTTACTATTTCGGTGTTATGTTCTGTCACAGGAACCATGTAAACGTCAATGTAATACCTCAACCTTTGAACTGGAAATTGGGTGAAAATGTTGAGGCACTCTCCGCTCTTCAGCTGTTGAAACGGTGGGCAAAGAATTTTACGGCACTGGTCCTGAAATCGAATGTACATCTTCTTTCATTTTAACACTTCTTGTTGCTGTTAAATTTGTGTTTTATCTACAGCAACGACTTATCTGTATTTTTCACAACTGCCTTAGCCCTCCCTACAATGCTGAAGCCCTAAATGAAGCAAGTCTAGATTCCCCCAGGTTCAGGCCTCAATCTCCCAACTCACTTGGGCTCCTTTTCAATTTAAATTGGTTTATTTGCTACTATCAAAATTATATATGTTTAGGGACTAAGCGTTAGTCTACTTATCTGTGTACGCTTTGCCATAAAAGATCAAGAGATTATTTCATTCGTGTAAAAATCGATGTTAGACGTTAAAGACAGCTTCACCAACCAGTGGAAATAGAAGGCCATTATACTTCACAAAAAGATCCTACTACGCAAGAAGGTTTACACCTTACGCAACTGTTGACAAGATCCCCACCTTCATTATTGTCAACAATACTCTCCCGCATTCACATATTGTCAACAAGATCCAAACACTCCACTTTTAACAAGATTCACATCTACACTCCTGTCATCAAGAACCTCAGTCAGATTCACATCCACAACACTGACAAAATGATCCACATCCCTGCCCACATCATTGTCAACAAGACACAAACCAGGTACTGACAACAGCGAGATCCACACTAACATCGCAGTCACCACTAAGATCCACATCCACATTCGTGTTAACAGCAAGATCGACACCCATATTACTGTTAGCAGCAAGATTCACACCATAATTACTGTTAGAAACAAGATCCACATCCACATTAGTGTTAACAGCAAGATCGACACCGATACCACTGTTAGCAGCAAGATCAACACCCACATTACTATTAGCAGCAAGATCAACACCCACATTACTGTTAGCAGCATGATCAACACCCACATTACTGTTAGCAGAAAGATCAACACCCTAATTACGGTTAGAAACAACATCCACATCCACATTACTGTTAATAGCAAGATCCACACCCGAATTACTGTTAGCAGCATGATCAACACTCACATTACTGTTAGCAGCATGATCAACACCCACATTACCGTTAGCAGCATGATCCACACTCACACTACTGTTAACAGCAAGATCCACACCCACATTACTGTTAGCAGCATGATCCACACCCACATTACTGTTAGCAGCATGATCCACACCCACATTACTGTTAGCAGCAAGATTCACACCCACATTACTGTTAGCAGCATGATCAACACCCACATTACTGTTAGCAGCATGATCAACACCCATACTACTGGTAGCATCAGGATTCACACCCACATTACTGTTAGCAGCATGATCCACACTCATACCACTGTTAGCAGCAAGATCCACACCCACATTACTGTTAGCAGCAAGATCCATACCCACATTACTATTAGCAGCAACATCCAGCTGGATCCACACCCACATCACTGCAAGCAGCAAGACCCATACTCACATCACTGCTACCAGCAAGATCCATATCCACATCACTGTTAACAGCAGGATCAACACCCACATCACTGTTAACAGCAAGATCCACACCCTCATCACTGCTAGAAGCAAGATCCACACCCACATCACTGCTAGCAGCAAGATCCATACCCACATCACTGCTAGCAGCAAGATCCATACCCACATCACTGTTAACAGCAAGATCCACACCCACATCACTGCTAGAAGCAAGATCCATACCCACATCACTGCTAGCAGCAAGATTCACACCCTCATCACTGCTAGCAACAAGATCCACACCCACATCACTGTTAGCCGCAAGATCCATACCCACATCACTGCTAGCAGCAAGATCAAACAGGGTCCACACCCACATCACTGCTAGCAGCAGGATCCACACCCACATCACTGCTAGCAGCAAGGTCCACACCCACATCACTGTTAGCAGCAAGATCCACACCCACATCACTGTTAGCAGCAAGATCCATACCCACATCACTGCTAGCAGCAAGATTCACACCCTCATCACTGTTAGCAACAGGATCCACACCCACATTACTGTAAGCAGCAACATCCAGCAGGATCCACACCCACATCACTGCAAGCAGCAAGATCAAACAGGGTCCACACCCACATCACTGTTAGCAGCAAGATCCACACCCACATTACTGCTAGCAGCAAGATCCACACCCACATCACTGTTAGCAGCAAGATCCACACCCACATTACTGTTAACAGCAAGATCCACACCCACATTACTGTAAGCAGCATGATCAACACCCACATTACTGTTAGCAGCATGATCAACACCCACATTACTGTTAGCAGCAAGATCCACACCCACATTACTATTAGCAGCAAGATCCACACCCACATTACTGTTAGCAGCAAGATCCACACCCAAATTACTGTTAGCAGCATGATCAACACCTACATTACTATTAGCAGCAAGATCCACACCCACATTACTGTTAGCAGCAAGATCCACACCCACATTACTGTTAACAGCAAGATCCACACCCACATTACTGTTAGCAGCAAGATCAACACCCACATTACTGTTAGCAGCAACATCCACATCCACATTACTGTTAGCAGCAAGATCCACACCCACATTAC